AACTAACATAGCTATGGAAAATCACCATGTTTAATGGGTAAATCAACTATCAATGGCCAGTTGCAATAGCTATATGTTAGTTTACCAGAGGGTATTCATTCTGAATAAATGATGACCCCTGATGGATTTTACCATGACTTTGCAAGCTACCAAGCTACCGTTTTAAGAGAACTTCATGCCCTTTTTCAGGGATCACTCCCCTAGTTCACCAGCAAAAACCCCACCCATTGAACCCATTGGGAATACGATATGGATATTTTCCCATGTAAATATGGATAAAAATATGTGAAAATCAGATGTAGATTGCCATTTCAATGGATCAAAATCATATATATATATAGGTCAAAATAGGTCAAAATTACTGTACCTTCTATTAGGGACGTTAGGTTCCCAAGCCTCAACCACAACCGCGCACCTTGTTTCGAGGTCTTCTGCCTGTGAAGTTCCTTCTGCTTCTGCATGTAGAAATCAAACCTTTTTTGTTTGGGAACGTCTCAGCCACGCCCAAAAGGTAACGCTTGGGATCACAATCGGTTGGCTACGCGCTACGCTTATCTAGGTACAATGCGCGGCCCTCGAGATAGGTTTAAGTTGAAATAATAACTACAATCACTGACGGCAGGGTGCATATCTAGAGCTGGATGGGTAAAACAAGAGCTCAACAAACATAACTAGGGGCCGCATTTAAAGCAACGATGTCAATCTATCACGAACGTATCAGATAGTGTCTAAACCATTCCAAACAGTGATGGAGAAGAAATTGAGACTACCATGAAATGCAAACGGATGAAAATTGGGCTTGGAAGCCAATCGTTCAAAAAGGGGTTCCCCTATCTGGTCAACTCACCTGCATGGAAAACCATCTCATTAAAACCCATCCCCCTAACATCAAACACCGCCCAGAAACCATGGTTCAGTAGGGGAAATTACACATATTAACTCATTCCTGTGGGCGGATGTCTATTCCTTCATTGATTACAGCTAGCCAGCTACCCGGATGTATCTTCCTCTCATTGTGGATGAAGAGGAATTTTCTCTTCATTGACCAACCAAACAATATTATGGCTATCTTGAGCTATTACTCATTGACTCCAACTCATTACATTGAAGAAACTCTTGCTTCGGTGAGAAATGTGCATTATAAATGAATATATGCGCAACACCATTGTATACTCCCCAGGTTATAACAAAAAAAAGCATCATTCACCAACCAAAGCACAAATTCTCCGGTTCTGACCCAGCAACACATTGCTGGCACTCCGACTTCCTGTACTGTCAGGGCCAGGCAAACCACTTTTCTGCCCGGCGGAGCCCATCTGCTGCCTCGTTCTTCCTTAGTCATTGGCCGCTACTCGACCCGCAAAAGACTGCTTGGGGGTGCAACTGGGGCTATTAATGAATATAATATGACTATATGACTATGGGAGTTTAACCTCCATAAGTTTGGGATATGGGGTCCTACAGCATAGGTTTAAAAAAAAAACACTTATTAGCGGCACTGCACCCCCAGGTGATTTCAAGCGCTAAATCAATAGCCTTTTCAAGGATTATAACTTTGTCACAAACCCACATGGCATACCCCAACTAACAGTTCGATCGAGCATGAGAATCAGCAATTTTGGCAGGGTCTATGTTATTTTGGGGGATGGTATGAATTAGTTGCTTGGTGTCTGACATACATGAAAGGGCTAGAAAACAAACACCAGAAGTCTGGGACTCAAGTTGGGTCCCATAATCCACACGATACCGACACCAACTATTACAACTCCATCCAAACAAGCAGTGACTTTCACCTTCTGTCTTCTCCCCTCTACTGGTTGCTTGAGTGCAGGGTCCCTCCCTCTTGTCCATAAGAATTCATGTCACACCACAGGACCCTTCTACCAACCATCAGTCTGCAAACATGGTTTAGTATTACTATATTACTATATGTGATGTTACTTTACCATACATCTAAACTTAGCATATTAGCAAGCATTGAATGATTCAATGTTGATTCAGTTTACTCACAATGGTATTCTTCTATCATGCCAGATTCAACAGGGTTGCTCCAAACACCCCAGATACCAAAGGGGAAGCTTACAAATCGTCCAGCCAAAAGTAGCCAAACATTACCCACAATGTCCTATAATGACGGCTTGGAGCAACCTTGTTCAATGTAAATCAAATCCCATTTTCTCATTAGATAGATATATCATATTTAATCCCATCATATAATCAGTCAATCTGAACAATCAACCTACCAAGTTTCTGTAAGCATTCCATTCTTGCAGGAACGCCGCCGCAAAATAGGCCAGGCCCAGTATCACCCACCAGCGTGTGGGTCGACTAGCTTGGGGTTTCGTGTCCCAGATCTCCTCACGGGTCACATGGGAGATGTTTTATAAGCAACGATTTTTATGGGGATTTACTGGGATTTTCCTTCTGCGGATATATAGCAAGAATACAATATTGCTGTGTCTCAAAACCAAGATGTCGCTACTTTAAAGTGAAAAATGTGAGCAAAGATGATAAACTAATGATAAACCATGGAGTTTGAGGTACTGGACCTTATTGACGAACCCGAATCTCAATTGGTCCCAATCCCACATGTTTGCACCCCAAATATATGCCTATGCACCATCAATCTACCATCAATCTTACCCAGGTTTGAAACTTACAGACCCATGAAAAGGGTATGTAACCATCCATTCTTTTTTACAAATCCTTAGCCCATTCTATCTCTAGAATCATCTCAAATCCTCCTGACTTAAACAGTTCAACCTCCATTTTTGGTTAAATCCCTATTCTTTAAACAGCGAAACTAAAGGAACATGTGGCCTCAATCTTCATTTTGCATGAACCATCATGAATGATCAACCCAAAAGAATTCACAATTCAACAACTTCAACCTCTAAACTATCAAAAATCCCCAGGTTTTTTTGCATTTCTTTGCATTTCCCTTTAAACTATCCACATGTTTTGCATGTTTTTGGTGAACTCACTGAAAATCCCCCGGGTTTCTCCCTGTTTTCGTCGTCCTCCAGGGATTTGTGGCGCCTCCGAAAGGCCTTCACCGGGACCACGGCGCTGAGCGCCGAGCGCACCGAGCCGCCCAGCCAGACGGCGAAGCGACGCAGCGGCTGCTCTTCGTTGGAACCCATCTCTTGGAGCCAACCTTTCGTGGATCTTTGTGATATCTGATTGATATATGTGTATATATATATACATATTATATATATATATATTATATAGAAATATATTATGTATATATTATATTATATATTGTATTGTATTGTATTCTATTGTATTCTATTCTATTCTATTCTATTCTATTATTATATTATACTATATTATATTATGTTATATTATATGATATTATATATTATATTATATTATATTATATTAAATTATATTATATTATATTATATTATATTATATATATATGATGATTATCATTATATTATGTTATGTATATTACATATTATATATATACAGTATGTAATATGATGTAATATCTATATATATATATTATGTATTTTTTATATGTATATGTCATATGTGTTTGCAACATGCGCGATTCGTCTAAAGACCTGTCAATGTCAACTGTCGCCAAAATTGCAAGACAAAGCGACAGCCGCTGGTTTCAGCTGAGGCACCATTTCCCATCATCAGAATCAGCGAGAATCCCTGGATGATGGCCGCAATTTCCATGAAACATCGCACCACCGTGCGGAAATTCAGTTGCGGTCGCAGATCCTGAGGATTCATCGGTGGCATCCCCGGCTGCCCGGGCTGCCCAGGCATCATTCCTGGCATGCCCGGCTGCATCATGCCCGGCTGACCATAGCCACCAGGCTGGTAGCCTCCATAGCCGGGCATCTGGCCATAGCCACCATAGGACATTTGATTTTGACCTTGAGGCGGAGGCTGGGCATATGAGTTCCGCAGATTGGTCAGACATCATGTAGTAAATTGAATTGGGGCCATTTTTTGGGGGGAGGGTCATAGGGTTGGGGATTCACTGTAACGGCCCCAAAACTCATGTTTGGATCATGAAACTTAGGGAGCTAAGCTGTAAACTACGGTCCTATCCTTCTTGTTGCCCTGTCAAAGGATTGATATTGCCTGGATATAGCCTGAAACAGCCCGCTCCTCAAATATCTACAACGTACTTTGCAAAGCATGATGTTTATGGGAAATGAGCAGTGTTCAAAACCCTGTCGTCCCTTGTACTGGTTGGTTGAGAATGGGATTCCCCACTGATATTCCCCAATATATATATATATATTGATAGCAAAAAAAACTACATCAGACATCATCATCAAATAAACCATCATTTGTTTCTCTGTTATATCTACTTATATCTCCATATGTTTATGCTTAAGGCTAGTGGGTGATGGCTACTTATAACCCCATATGATAGCAAATCAACCCATCACCGTGGCCAAGGGCCCCAGGGGCCCCCACCAACCGCTCCAACGGCCCCAACGGCCCCAACGGCTCCCGTGGTGTTCACTGTGGAGCCTGAGCTGAAATCAAACTAAATGGGTCAATGTCCATAGCTATGCAACAAATTACCAGAGGTCAAGCAATAATTGGTGACTTTACCTTGTTTTTCCCGTTTGAAGGTTGTGTATAGATTTTTTTTTGTGTTCAGGAAATTCAGGAGGATTTTTGGTGTGAAATTTTAACCCAGTCGTTTGGGTATGGTTTCCTCAGACCCACTGTAGTAACTATCTCGAATGGAGAGATAAACATCCAGCTTTACAGCTATTATAATTGGTTTGGAACATTTTGGAACTTTTGGAACATTTTGAAACCATACCCATCTGAAACAAATCCTTGAAGTTGGAATCCTTCCTGAGTCGGGAAATTATCAAAGCAAGTCTCCACTTCAAGTGGCCCGTCTACAAATCTGTGCTATGTTAAATTCAAGATGGTACCCTCTGGTAACTTAACATAGCTACCGAAAATGACCACAGAAAAAGTTGATTTACCCATCAAAAATTCTAATATTATAGCTATGATAGCTATGCTAGTTGACGATTTACCCATTAAAATATCATTTTCAATAGCAAACTGTTAGTTGACCAAAGGAATATCAGACTTACCATCCCAAGCCCCTTCCCCAAGCCCAATGGTTTATTGATGTGTTATCCACATATAATCATATAAACAGTATCATCACATAACATTACACTTACTGGTTGGTGGTTTGAAGGTATACCTACCCCACTGAAAAATCATGGAGTGAAAGTCAGTTGGGATGATGACATGACCCCAATTGAATGGAAAAATATATTTAAAAAATGTTCCAAACCACCAACCAGACACTTATCATTATGAATTTTAGCATCACTATTACTTATCATTATGAATTTTAGCATCACTATTGTCATTGTCACCATTGTCACTAGAATATGATTATGTTTTTTCTTATATTGAATTATATCGCGATTGCTATCTGATCAACAATACCCATGATAATCCCCGGTGATCATACTAATCATTATGGATATTTATTTAAATTTAGTCTAAATATCCAAAACTAAAATCCAACTCACAATAATGATACAATCCCCTATGATAATTAATCATTTTGGAATACTATAATTACTATCCCAAACTCCCAATCCATCCCTTCACCTGTGGCTGGCGCTGCAGTAGACGCCGCCGGTGCGGCTGCAGGCGCCGCTGTCGCGGCTGCCGCCGTCGCAGCCGGGGCTTCGGCCGGCGCAGCGGCGTCCGCCATGGGGTGAATTGCTGTCACTGGGGCCTGGGAAATTTGCTGGATTTTAGATGACTTTATGATGAATTTCATAGATTTTCAAAGATTTGTATGGAATTGTTGAGAGAATGTTCATGATGTGCATAATTTTTACAGGTATCACTTTGGTGGAAGTACATGTAATTACCTGTAGTTCATTAGTACGTCTAGTAGGACACCATGATTTCAAGATCGCTTCTCATGTTTAAGGAACTTCAAAGAAGTGCTGGTCCCGGGTGCTTTTAGAAATGATGTGCCCTGTCCTTTGTCCCATGTGCCATAGTGTCCAAGGTTAAGCCCCTTGAATAATTAAGGAGATTTAATGGAGACTTAATGGAGATATATTGGGATGTATTGGGGATGAACCAGCCATAATTGGGATTAGATTACATTACTGGTTGGTGGTTGAGCCCTACCCCTCTGAAAAATATTAATCAGTTGGGAGTATTATTCCCAATAATTATATGGAAAATAAAAAATGTTCCAAACCACCAACCAGATTAGATACTTGGTGGTTCACCCCTGGAGGCTTAAAACTAGCAAAGCTAGGCTTGAGGCTTGTCCAGTTGTAACTGGAACTCACCCACTGGGATGAAGCACGACATGGCTTGGATGATAAGCTTGTTGGTGACTGGAGCTGAAAAACATGGGCGGAAATGCAGCAGCAACTCCGAACAGGATCCAGCATGCAGTTAAATCCAGAGGAAACCCAGGTGTTTAGCCGAAAAATATGACATGTCTCATTTCCGGTATTCCCACTAATACTTAAGTGTTATTACCTTGGTTCTTAGGTGAAACGAGAAAACATCTGCTGAAATCTGAAATCAGTGTTTTGAGGAGCAGGATCCCGGAACGTGAATATAGATGATATAGTATAGTAGATGGAACGCACCTCACTTTTGATGCTTGTATCTTTACAGGATAGTAATCCCATGTTATCCCCCCCCAAAAAAAAAAAAGTACATTACTGGTTGGTGGTTTCAACCCTACCCCTCTGAAAAATGATGGAGTGAAAGTCAGTTGGGATGATGACATGACCCCAATATGATGGGAAAATCATAATCCAGCTATGTTCCAAACCACCCAGTCACTATTTCAGTCGGATAAGAAACTTTTCTATATCTTTTGGGAGCTGATTATAGCCCCTATGAATCCCACCATGAACCAACTGGCCGCGGCGCCCGGATGCTGGGGCAGCTCTTTTCGTACCGGTGACCGGTGGTGACCGGTCTCTGGGAGCCGACTTGCTTCAGGAGTCGGCCGCCCCAAGGCACCGCGTTTCTGCCATATCTTCACAAGGACATGCTGGGATCATGTTTTTAGAATCAAGACAGATTCTAAAATCAACAGCCTCAACAAAAACCAGATCCCTCTTTTTTGAAACATCTGCTTTCCAGCCCGAACAGATCACAAAAATGCCATCACCGTCTCACCCTCTCAGCTTCATGGTTTCCGTCCTGGAACACGGTGAAATCAGGTGCCGAAATTCATGGGAAAACACGGAAAGCTGCGGAAGGAATGGTCCATCAGTGGGAATGGTCCATCATTTTCCCTGGTGAGATTGTCAATTTGCGCAATGGCAGGGGTTTGTTTTTCACTCGGACCCTTTGTTACCGCGCACCGTATTATGTTTTTCCTACTTTTTCCTCTGCGTTTTGCTGTGTTTTCCCTTTTTCATTGCGCAAAAAATGCAGGATTTTTTGCGCTGCTCTTCTGGGTGGGGGTTTGGGGTTTGGGTTTGGGGGGTGGGGGGTTTTGGGGGGGGGGGGTTTCCGGGAGGGGGGTGGCGGTTTCGGGGGGGGGTGGGGGGGGGCATAATAGCGTTCGTGTGTGTGTGTGTGCTGTCGTTTCGCCCTTCCCCTTTTTTTTTTAAATAACGGTTGTAAGCCTTTTTTTTTCTCTGCGCCAAGACGTTAACTTTTTTGTTTGGCGCGTTTGGTTTTGTTATTGTCCGTGCTGCTTGGATCGTGTCCGTGACCTTTGGTTTTTTTGGGGGTGGGTTTTGAGGGATTTGGGTTTATGTGTGTTATATATGATATAGGTATCTATGATATCTTTGGTATACATGATATCTATGTTGTTTATGATATGTATGATATATATATATATACATACAAATGTGTTAAATATGATAGATATGGTATCTATGATATCTATGGTATATATGATCTCTATGTTGTGTTTGCTATATATATATGATATCTCTGATACATATGATATATATATATATGGTATCTATGTGATATCTATATATATATATACATATGATATATATGATATATATGATATCCAGGACCGAGCAGGCCAATTGTGCCATGATCCACGCCACAAGTTTGATTTGGACAAAGATCAAGCGTGGCAGTGGACCTAGTTGCGAAACAACGGCAGGCGTGTGGAAAAAGGCACTGAACGCCACCGTGCCATGGGGATTTTGGCCCTTGCCGGCGCGCGGTTACAGGGTGTCCGACCGTTGTTTTTAGTATATTTGGCCATAGGTCTCAATGTCTCAATTGTTGAATGACCTATGTCCATATGTATCATATGTTCTATAGGCGATCCTCACTTTCAAGCGAAAGCATTTGAGAATGTTTTTTGGATGTGTATGGCCCAACATTGGGGGAACTTTCAAACCCAAAGAGAACGACATAACATTGAGACATGTTTAATTTCTGAGTAAAAAATGAAAATGCATTTGAACATCGATTCGCCTGAACAATATGCGCATAGACGAGAGACTGAACGATGTTTATCATATATGTATCTCCCATTTGTGGCATTCACGTCTTATCTCCATTTTCGCTCAAAGAAATATAAGACATGACGCATCTCAGATCGATTTTAATGCATGTCATACATTGCTTATAATCCTATAAAATATTCATCTCAGAATCATAATCAATGTCAAATGTACATTGGATGATGTTTGGTCCCTCAAAATCCCGGCCTTCCCTGAAATTCATTCCCTCCCACTCATTCCCGGCCTGTGCTTTCCGCTTCGCGTCAGCCATGTTTGCACGATTCTCGCAGGCCAGCAGGACTTCCAAAACCCTCACGGCCTTTGAGAAACGATCAGCGATGACAGATTTCACTCAGAAAATGTCGGGAAAACTGGAATTTGACCTGTGAGATTGGAAATTCAGAGCTCATCTTAACCACCAACACACCACTCATCAGTGAATCCAGGTGAATCCCAACCCCATCTATTCTAGAAAATTAACCAACTTGCTGCTTCCTTGAATTCTCCCCAAACAATCCCTTCAAAATCATTCATTATTCAGGATCTAAACCAAGGCGGCCAGGGTACCCGTTTCACCACCTGCAGCGCTCGTTTCTGGCAGAAGTTCCGCCGTCTTCGATCCAAACCTCGCAGCAATCGCTCCGCATCGGGCGACTCCAGGGCTTTGGGTCGCGCGCGGCCGAAGACACGTGAGGTACGGGGCCGCACCGTGGTCAGCAGGACCTTCCTGAGGGCTCTGAAAGGGCCAGAACTGTTGTGGGAAAGTGGTTCTTAATCTAACAATAAATGATTTGTGTTTTGAGGAAAATCTTTGTGTTTGGATGTTGGTATTATATAATATTATACACACATTTATATTGTAATGATATAAAGTCTAATATAGCGGTGATGTGGTGAGAGAATCGCTTGCCCCCCCAGGAAAAAAAACATCTCATTTTGTGTAGGTATCCAAGTTTGACTTATACCCGAATGATCCAGAATGTTACCCAAAGTCAACATAGAACAACCGAAAAAGGGCTCTGGAAGATGCTTTTCCTACCGGAAGTCACCATCTTTAGTTTCCGCATGAAACAAATCCGTGGTATCAAGTGTGCTTCACAAGCGTTTTCCTTCTCACCCACTTACGATTCACAATCCTGAAATAAAATAAATAATGCATGATGAAGCCATTTTGGGACAATCACTCCTTATGAAATATCATGTGTTGTGACCTGATGGCGACGTCGCTATAATTGACCCTTAAATAGATGATTTCCCCATCACATTGTCAGAACTGTGGGCCTTTCCCAGTAAAAGTTGGTGCCCATAGTTAGCTAAGTTAATCTATAACTGTTATGGTTAACAACCAGTTATGACTAATAATCTATAGCTATAATTAACTAGATATATCAATCTATTATCAACCATATATCAACCATAACTGTTGCGTTTCTGGTTGATATATCTATCGAACTAAAAAAAAACTGGATGTGGACTCAACCAACTTACAACTGAGGGACCAACCACCTTCTAGGCACAAACTACCATAATTCGGGTGTTTTTTCCATTACTTGGGGGTACAGTTGGGGTGATAAAACTAGATTTTCAGCTCCATAAGTTGGGTGAAATCTAGGCCACCCAAATTCAGAAGGGTTTCTGTGGATGGTGGAATCCGATAAACCACCATTAAACCATCCATTCCTGGTTGAAACATGTTGAAACCCCAACAAATTCATGGGATAAACCATCTATAAACATGTTGAAACCCCAACAAATTCATGGGATGTTGACCAGAAAAACTGCTTCGGATTTCGCAACGGCCGGCCCATCCACAGGATTAATGTTTTTCGTCTTTTCGGAGACGCTTCCGACGCCGAGCTTCTGACACGCCTCCCGAAGCTTCTCATATCCTGTGAGAAATGTGATCTGGGGTCAAGATTCGGGACGCATACATGGGCCATCTTTCAAAATATATGGGGTCGTAGAGTCACCCTGAATTTGATAGAATATCGAAATTACAAAAACTGTCCAAAATGAGCATGTGTTTGCAAAACCAATGTTATATCTACTTCAGACTGACTACATACATACGTATAATATGTGTATATATATATACACACATATGTATGTATGTATGTATGTATGTATGTACTGTACTGTACTGTACTGTACTGTACTGTAATGTAATGTAATGTAATGTAATGTAATGTAAATGTAATGTAAATATGTAAGTAAGTAAGTATGTAAGTATGTAAGTATGTAAGTATGTATGCATGTATGCATGTATGCATGTATGCATGTATGCATGTATGCATGTATGCATGTATGCATGTATGCTATGTATGTATGTATGTATGTATGTATGCATGTATGCATGTATGCATGTATGTATGTATCTATGTATCTATGTATCTATGTATCTATGTATCTATGTATCTATGTATCTATTGATCTATTGATCTATGTATGTATGTATGTATGTATGTATGTATGTATGGTATTGTAATGTAATGGAATGTAATGGAATGTAATGGAATGTAATGTAATGTAAGTATGTAAGTATGTAAGTATGTAAGCATGTAAGTATGTAAGTATGTGTGTATGTATGTATGCATGCATGCATGCATGTATGCTATGTATGCTATGTATGCTATGTATGCTAGTATGTATGTATGTACGTATGTATATGTATGTATGTATGTATGTATGTATGGATGGATGGATGGATGGATGGATGAATGTATGTATGTATGTATATATATATGATTGTGTATGTATATGTATGAGTGATGATGCGTATTTATGCACATGTAGAACTATGCATATTTGCTGAAACAATTTGATTAGCTATGATTACATCTACCTACATACTGCGGATGGAAGAAATCCTGCACCAGTTGGATTGGTAACTATGAAGCACTGTAAATAATGGGATTATAGCGGGATAAACCATCTACCAACTGGCGCAGGATGCCGCAACCATCCACAAATAGCTGCTCATGCTGGGGCAGAAAGGATGTTTACTGTTGTCATTGGGTCATCATCTTGGGTGCGAAAATTTATGGGATTTCATGGTGATCTACTCGGAAATTAAAGTGATTAATATGGAAGTGTATTTCATGGTGATTGAATAGGAATTTACTGGGATTATATGGAGATGTAATGTGATATATAACTCAAATTAAGGGTACTCTCTGGGTTTATCTTCGAATTTATCTTCCACATATGGCCCTGTTTCATGGGGAATGGGGAGCATGATTTTCTCCATGGGCTTTGGGGGCTCCACAAAAGCCAGTCCTTCCGCACGACCCTGCAACAAGAGATGTCGCTGCTGTAGGACGTCCTGGGGTTAGACTGGTGGTTTCGTTTGGAGAGCCCATTTAACAACCGGCAAGTGACCTGTAAATCTATATGTGTATTCAATAAAATCTACATACCTATAATCTTCTATAAATCATTAGTCAGTATAAATCTATATATGTGTACTCCATGTACTGCAAAAACTCTGGATGTTTCCAAACTGGGTTTCGCTTACTAAGTGGACAACTGGATCACCCAGGAATCGAGGACGACTCGTCACCAGGGTTACCAACCAATTTCGATCCATGGGGTGATCCTCCAAGGAAGCCGGCAGTCGTGTGACTCTTGGTTGAGATTCACCCACTGAAAGATATATTTATACTACGGTGTGATATTGTGTATATATATATATATATATACACATTACATATATATATATATATGTATATACGTATATGTATAACTGTATAATTATGTAATATCATGTATATTTGTATACCATGTGGACATAAGCAGAGTGCTTGCTTGTTTCCGTGTCAGTATCCTGATACCACTTGTCTTTCGATCAGCATCTGGGTGGCAACTGATTCAGTTCGTCCCTGGGGTTTGTTGATCTCCTGACGGGTTCGTTAAACCTTTAGTGGTTTGGATGAATGGTGTTTACATTGTTTACATCTCCCATCTGGTCCCAAAAAGGACCAAACATCATCTTGTATGCGGCCACAATCCATCCAGATCGGTTCACCCCAGTTTGTTTGTGGCTGAGTTCACCCATGTTCACCCAGAAAACTGGAGGATTGCCCTACTGACCCTACTGAATTCACACTTGCGATTCCTGGGGTGAACCACCAGATCATACCTGCAGGATCATCCCACTTGGTATACCTGGTTAGCAACCATAATTATAATTTATATCATCCATGTATTCTCTATGGATATCGATGGTACCACAAAACAGGCACACGTCCTAACTAGGAATCTCAACCACTTCCAATTCGCGGGGGATCCTCCAGTTTCCACTCAATCCCTGGGCCATCTGGGCCACACCTCCAGACAGGTGCTGTATTTGCCGCTGATGCTGCAGCCCACCAGCCGTTCCGCCCCCACGGTGGCGCAGAAGGACAACGAGAGGTCCGTCAGCGAGATTTGATGCTCTCCACAGGCATCCTGAGATGGAAGATTTGACAAAAAATTGGGACATGCATGAACATCCCGGAAATGCTACAAAGATTTTGGGCGTCCCGCCAAAAAATGAATAGTCAAGTAAACTTTTGGAATAGAAAACGAACTTTATTACCCCTTCCCTCTTGTTCGGTTTCTTTTCGCAAGTTGATTCCCCAAGTCAGGTGCTCCAAGCATCGTTCAAGGCTTGATACACACTCTGTGCCTCGCAGCCCTCGTGGTGGAGCACCAGATCTTTGGCTCGGTTCAGGACTTGCAACATCCTAAAGCTGACAGAAAAAACGGGAAGTCTCGGACTCATATTTTTACCCGGTAAGAATGGGATTTATGTAAGTCCATGGGATTTCCATGGAATTATATAGATAATGGAATGATAATGGGATCTCCTCTGGTGATTTGATGATGCATACATTTACGTGTTGATCCCCCTTTATTTGGAAGCAAAAGTCATGCTTTCCAGTCAAAGACGTCCCTTAAAATCAATCCAAGTAGAATTTGTTTCGGATCAACCACCTGCGGGGTCATGATCAAACATAGGGACATCATCCAGATGTTGTGGGAAATCATATGGGTATGGGTCGAAACTTGGGGCACCCATGGACCTACAACGACATATGCAGAGGATCATGCAAAGATACATTTTCCGTTGCAAGCGCGGTACAAGAAGAGACATGTTCATCAGAGATGTTAGGAGGTCAGGGCGCTGATTTCCTGAGAGGGGTTGCATTTTGGAGGATTAGATTTTCAGTTTTGGGAAGATGATTTTGTGTGACAGGTGCAGCACTTCGTATGACCTGGCGTCACTTTTTCGTGGCAGGCGCAATACTTTAGACAGATGGAGTGCAAACATCGCAAAACGCATTGGTGCGAGGCCGTCAGCTCTGCACTCAACTTCATTTTTGAAGGAAGTCTCGCAGAATTGCTTCGTTTTTGATGTTGCCAACTTCGCAAACTGAGGAAGTCTCGCAGAATTGCTTCGTTTTTGACGTTGTCAAGTTCACAAGTTGAGGAAGTCTCGCTGAGTTACTGCGTTTTTGATGCTGTCAAGTTCAAAAATTGAGGAAGGCTTGCAGAACAGCTTCGTTTTCAAGCTTGCAGATACACAGGTAGATAGATAGGTAGATAGATAGGTAGATAGACAGATGGACAGATAGACAGATGGACAGATAGACAGATGACAGATAAGATAGTTAAGATAGTTAAGATAGATAAGATAGATAAGATAGATAAGATAGATAAGATAGATAAGATAGATAAGACAGATAAGATAGATAAGATAGAAAAGAGAGAGAAGATAGATAAGATAGATAAGATAGATAAGATAGATAAGATAGATAAGATAGATAGATAGATAGATAGATAGATAGATAGATAGATAGATAGATAGATAGATAGATAGATAGATAGACAGATAGATAGATAGATAGATAGTTAGATAGATAGATATAGGTAGATAGATAGATAGATAGATAGAAAAATAGATAGATAGATAGATAGATAGATAGATATATAGATAGATAGGTAGATAGATAGATAGGTAGGTAGGTAGATAGATAGATAGATAGTTGGATGGATAGATAGATAGATAGATAGGTTGATTGATTAGATAGATAGATAGATAGATACATAGGATAGATAGATAGATAGATAGATAGATTGGATAGCTAGATAGATAGATTAGATTAGATTAGATTAGATTAGATTAGATAGATAGATAGGTAGGTAGATAGATAGATGGAAAGATAGAAAGATAGATAGATAGATAGATAGAGAGGTAGATAGGTAGATAGATAGATAGTTAGATAGATAGATAGATAGAATAGATAGAATAGATAGAATAGATAGTATAGATAGATTAGATAGATAGATTAGATAGATTAGATAGATTAGATAGATTAGATAGATTTAGATAGATAGATAAATAGATAGATAGATAGATAGGTAGGTAGGTAGATAGATTAGATAGATTAGATAGATTAGATAGATTAGATAGATTAGATAGATTTAGATTTAGATAGATAGATAGATAGATAGGTAGATAGATAGATAGATAGACAGATCTTCCAAACCTTTTTCATGCGAGCCTGTCGCTTCGCTTGTCTGGCTTCCAATTCCCGTTTTGTTCCAGTTCGGAATCGGCCAGCCCAGCGACTCCACCTCCTCAACTCACATAGCGCATGCTCTGTCAAGCATATCGTCCATCCGCGGGGGCACACCAAGAGTATCTCCTCCGGCGGGAACTCAGCCTCAATGCGCTCCGTGAGCCTCTGCAGCTGTGTCGATGGATCTTCATCTCCATTCTGGATCTCATCCAAGCAGTCCGATGCGCCATCGCCCACAAAAACAGAATCTGGCAGGTGCGGGTGAAAGACCTGGACATCCCGGAACATTATATAGGATAAAAAAGGTGAGTGCACCTAGGCTGCATCGTGCACCAGCTGCCACCTTCTTCAGGACCGATAGATAGATAGACAGAAACATGGCTAGAATAGACAGACAGGCAAATAGAGAGATAAACACATAGACAGACAGATAGACAGATAGATAAACAGATATATATATATATATAGATAGACAGGTAGGTAGACAACTGCAACTACAACATAACTACAACTACAACTTCAACTATTACAACTACAACTACGACTACAACAACTTTAACTACACTTCAACTACAACTACAATTACCGTTGCACAAAACTACAACTACAACAACTACTACAACTACAAGTACAACTACAGCCACAACCAACTACAAAAACTATTGTAACTACTACAACTGCAACTGCAACTAGAACTGCCACCACACCTGCAACAACAACTACAACTACAACTACAACTTCAACTACACTACAGCAACAGTTACCACTACACTACAGCTACAACTGCAACTACAGCTCCTACGACTACTCCAATTACTACGCACAACTACAATTTCAACTACACTTTAAATTACACTACAACTAGAACTACAATAATAACAACAACTACCACTACAACACTACAACTTCAAAAACATCAACTACACTACAACTACAACTACAACTACAACTACAACTACAGCTACATTGCACTCCGCTACACCGCATTACATCCTGCAGTTGTGGGTGAGGTGGCCACCGCAACCATTTCAAAAAGCACAACTCCAACCACCTCGGTCCATCAGTGGATTCGCTCTGCCATCCATGCATCACAACAATCTCACCTCTCCAATAGTTTCCTATCTTTGGAACTTCCGCCACTGCCTTGTGCGATACTACTGGTATAAAATGATCATAGCTGGAAAAAAAGAAAAATGAAACGAGTGAAAAAAAATGAGATCAAATGCAGAAACATGCAAAAATCATATATATATATAATATCTGCTGATAGGAGCGACCCTGGTCTGATCTAATCACCCTGTGATACAGGGTATTGAATTATCTAAGTGATGGAATGCATGCACAAGCATCGAAGCTGCCCGTAGCAGATACTCAGATGTGACACCCATCGCATGTGTTGAACACACGGCGGCAGATGCTAGCTGTAGCTTTCCTACCGGCTTTCCCTCGCCAACAGACTGAGAACCGAGCAGGGCAGCTGAATGCAGTGATGGGCCGCAACTCCCCTGGGCGTCATCAGCAGACTGTGCCACTGGTACAACTGGGATCGCAGCAGGTGCAACCATGGCTGCACTGGCCTCTCCCTTTGGCAGGGTTACATTGGCATGGTTAAAAAAGAAGACAGGAGTGCAGCTGGACAGCCGCCGATATATATATATATATATGTATCAATAATATGTCTATGCCCATATAGGTACACTGCAACTCAAATGCCTTGAGTCTCTTCCTAGGAGGCTCAGCGCTGACCTAGCAGAAGTTCAATCGCAGAAGTTCAGGATGCGTCTTTCTTCATTGTTTCAAGAGGGAAGCAGACAGCATGCTGCCTTGTTGCAAATGCTGCTCTGGAGGTGGGCCTGGGGGGAATCGAAGAGAGGGGGGGGCCCTTGAAAGGCGAAGCAATACATAACGGGCCCAAACTCCTGCACTTGCACCGCTCCCACCCCAATACGCAAGGGGGAACTCAGGTAGCTTACCGCTAGCTTTCGGGATTTTAGGAGATTCTATGGTTACAGGGGGGTTGCACCACAACATACCATAACCAACCTTTCCCCATTGTGGGATCAGCCCACCATACCCCTTTGCCCTGGGCTCCTGCTTGCTTGATGTGACGTCTGAGCACATCGTGTGGATACTGAGAGGTAGGGCAACAATGTCAACCTGGTCAGGGGCATGTCACGTGTCACGTCACGTCCTCTTCAAACCCTGGATAAACATCCTTCTGATGATTACTATTATAATTGACCCAAAAACAGATAGAACCGTTATTTATTTAGCATTATGTATTATGTATCACTATTTTAGTGGGATCTTGATAAGGTCCATCTTAAAACACGCAAATCAAAACAACTTTGATCATCATCGAAAAGGAGCAAAATGACAGGAAAAAACGTAGCTCGAAAAACAAGCACGAAGCAAATGAACAATATGGTAGTGGTAACCTCACAAAAAAAAAAGTAAAGCATTAAAATACTACTATCATGAGGAGTAGTCGTCCTACATAGTTTTTCCTGTAACTATCAAATCCGAAGTGTGGTTCACTGCCACCTCTTTTTGCCCACACCTGGCCACCCATCCTCCTCTCTTCCGTTGCACCGTCACGCTGCGGCCACTGCGGCCATTCCTCTGGTGCCGCAGCGGCGCAACGCTGCCACCGCTGCCACCGCGGCTCAGGGAGGCATCGGTCGCGGCGCCAGCAGTGCCACAGAACTTGGCCCGTTCCATGTGGCTCAGCAGCGCCGCTTTCACCGCAGGCGGCAAGGCTTGGAGGGTGTCATAGCCTTGGTCGTCGATTTTTGATTGGATCCCCGGAGATCTGAGGAAAATGTTGGGATGACACGTTGATGTTTTTTTTTCAATGGTTGAAATCCTGGAAAAACATCGGGGTTCTAGGACTGTCTTGATTTCTAGGGGGGGTGATGCAATTTTGATGCTGCTGACAACCTATGTTGAGGGCACCTAGGACCTACGGGTTTCTTGATGGGGACTGTCAAACCCATTGGTCTAGCAGTCTAGGGAAATACCGATCTTGAAAATTACCGAAAGGGAAATAGTTTTTTTCTCTTGGTGCCTCTCCACATTGGCTATCAATCAATCAGCGTCAATCATGCTCAAAGGAAGGCTCAACGAAGCAAGAGTTTCACCATTGTTGGTAGTAAATCATTGAACAAGACGTGAAAACATCCCATTGGGCTGATAAATCTTTGAGAACAAATGCCTCTCTGCACAAAAACCTTCAAAAAACCGTTGCTGATGTTGTGAAATCTCCCCACACTATAGCTTGATCCCTTCTTCATACCCATTAACTACACTATATCTTCACATAACCCCATCTTCATCCCCATTAGAAACCAGGTGGACCAGAGAACCCAAAAGCAAGACGGCACGCAGCACGCCTTTTTTAAAAAATCTTATGGTGTGGGCAGCTGTGCGCTGCACAAAATCGACGTAAGATCTTTACTGAAACATTGTGCGTACTGATGGTATCAGGGGCCACAATTCACCACAGCATGCTGTGTCAGCTACGTCTATATTCTTCTAGTCGCTATTTCTGCTAATGTAATTAACTCTATCCCATCTTTCAAGTCGCTATTTATTCCCGGCTTCTTGTTTAGCTTGCTTCGCCGCAGAGGGAGCGAGGACGAAGCGTGGACAGACAGAACACCGTGCGAAATGAAAACTGAACGACGGAGGGAGTTGACCAAAAGAGCATGAAAACGAAGATATAAAGATGACAGCTGGTGAATGATCATGAAAAATGAGACATGATGAAAGATGGGTAAAGACTTCTCTGCGCAAAAGCTTCTATGCGTAAAAGCTACTGTGTGTGAACGCGTCTGTCCGTACAAGTTCTTTGTGCAAAAATTCTTCTGTGTAAAGGTTTTTTTCTGAAAAAAACTTCTGTGTGTAAAAGCTTCTGTGTAAAGCGTCCTCTGTGTGTAAAAGTTTCTTTGCGTAAAAGCTTCTGTATGTAAAAGCTTCTGTGTAAAAAACTTCTCTGTGTGAAGGTTTTTTTTGTGTAAAAGCTTCTGTGGGTAAAAGCTTCTGTGTGTAAAAGCTTCTCTGTGTAAAAGGCTTCTCCGTGTCAAAGCCTTTGGGTGTACAAGCTTCTCTGTGCAAAAGTTCCTCTGTGTAAAAGCTCCTCTGTGAAAAAACTGCTCTGTGTAAAAGGCTTCTCTGTGTAAAAGTCTCTGTGTGTGCAAGCTTCTCTGTGTCAAGACTTCTTTGTGTAAGATTTCTCTGTGTAGAAACTGCTCTGTGTAAAAGCTTCTGTGTGTAAAAGCTTCTGTGTGCAAAGTTTCTGTGTGTAAAAGCTTCTGTGTATTAAACAACTTCTTTGTGTAAAAACTTCTGTCTATAAAAGCTCCTCTGTGTGTACAAGCTTCGCTGCGTAAAGCTGCTCTATGTAAAAGTTCTGTGCGCCGTAACAAAGCTGTCTGTTTGTAAAACCTTCTGTGTGTGTGTGTGAATGTGTCTGTGTGTACAAGATTCTGTGTGCAAAAGCTCCTCTGTGTAAACGCGTCTGTGCGTAAAGGCTCCTCTCTGTAAAGACTTCTCTGTGTAAACGCGTCTGTGCGTAAAAGCTTCTCTGTGTAAGACTTCTCTGTGTAAAAGCTACTCTGTGCAAACGGTTCTGTGCGTAAAAGGCTTCTGTGTGCAAAAACTCCTCTCTATAAAGGCTTCTCTGTGTAAACGCGTCTGTGCGTAAAAGCTCCTCTCTGTAAGACTTCTCGGTGTAAAAAGCTTCTGTGTGTAAAAGCTTTCCTGTGTAAAAGTTTCCTTGTGCAAAAGCTCCTGTGTGTAAAAGCTGCTCTGTGTAAAAGTTTCTGTGCGCCGTAAGAGCCTCTATTTGTAGGGCCTTCTATGTGTAAACGTGTCTGTGTGTAAAAGCTTCTGCGTGCCTGTGTGTCAAGACTTCTCTGTATAAAAGGCTTCTCTCTGTAAAAGCCTCTGTGTGTACAGGCTTCTCTGTGTCAAGACTTCTCTGTGTAAAGACTTCTCTGTGTAAAATTTACTTTGTGCAAAAAAGCTTCTGTGCGTAAAGGCTTCTGTGTGTAAACGCGTCCTTGTGTCAAGACTCCTCTGTGTAAACGTGTGTGTGTGTGTCAAAGTTTCTGTGTACAGGTTTTTTTTGTGTAAAAACTTATGTGTGTAAAAGCTTCTGTGTGTAGGAGCTTTTCTGTGTAAAGACTTCCCCCTGAAGAAGCTTCCAAAGCTTCTGTGTAAAGCTCCTCTGTGCGTAAACGTTTTTTGTGTGCAAAAACTTTGTGTGCAAAAACTCCTCTGTGTAAAGACTTATCTGTGCAAACCCGTCTGTGTGTAAAAGCTCCTCTGTGTAAGACTTCTCGGTGAAAAAAAATCTGTGTAAAAGCTTCTGTGTGTAAAAGCTTTCCTGTGTAAAAGCTTCCTTGCGCAAAAGCCTCTGTGTGTAAAAACTTCTCTGTGTAAAGGTTTTTTGTGTAAAAGCTTCTGTGTGTAAAAGCTGCTCTGTGTAAAAGTTTCAGTGCGCCATAAACGCTTCTTTGTGTAAAACTTCCTGTGTGTAAACGCGTCTGTGTGTAAATCTAAGAAAAACTTCTCTGTGTAAAAGCTCCTCTGTGTAAAGACTTCTCTGTGTAAAAGACTTCCCTCTGTAAAAGCCTCTGTGTGTACAAGCTTGTCTGTGTCAAGACTTCTCTGTGTAAAGACTTCATGACTTCTCTGTGTAAAAGCTACTCTGCGTAAAAGCTTCTGTGCGTGGAGGCTTCTGTGTGTAAACGCATCCGTGTGTAAACGCTCCTGTGTAAACGCGTCTGTGTGTAAAAGTTTCTGTGCGTAGAAGTTTCTGTGTAAACGCTTTTTTGTGCAAATTTTCTGTGTGTAAGAGCTTCTCTGTGTAAAGGTTTTCCCGTGTAAAAGCTTCTGTGTGTAAAAGCTTCTGTGTGAAAAGCTTCTCTGCGTGTAAACGTTTCTGTGTGTCAAAGCTGCTCTGCATTAAAGAAATCTTTGTGTAAAAGCGTCTGCTTGCAAAAAAATGTAAAAGCACCTCTGTGTGTGTACAAGCTTCTCTGTGTAAAAGCTCCTCGGTGTAAAGACTTCTATGTGTCAAAGCCTCTGCGTGTACAAGCTTTTCCGTGTAAAAGCTGCTCTGTGTAAAAGCTGCTCTGTGTAAAAGGCTTCTCTGTGTAAAAGCCTCTGTGTGTGCAAGCTTCTCTGTGTCTAGACTACTCTACTCTGTATAAAGATTTCTCTGTGTAAAAATTTTTGTGTGTAAAACCTTTCCTGTGTAAAAGTTTCTCTGTGTAAAAGACTCTGTGTGTAAAGTCCTCCCTGTGTACAAGCTTCTCTATGTAAAAGATCCTCCGTGTAAAGCTCCTCTGTGTAAATGTAAAACCCGTGCCAACAGCTCCGAATTTTCAGTGCCACTCCCTTCCAGCAGAGCTCTTCTCAAGCTATTTCCCCCCCTGTCCGTTCACGCTGATGCATATCCTATGCTTGGGTTCTTCGCTACACAGGGAGCGAAAACCAAGCATCGACGGACAGAACGCCGTGCAAAATGAAAACCCCTCCAGCCTGCAGCAAAGAACTTTTTCCCATGCGTGTCCGGAATTTCCCTTTGCTCAGCACTTAGACACCGTTTGAGAAGTCTTTGGCACCAGTTTTTCGGAACAATCGTATTGATGAAATTTGTCCTGAAAAACCCGTGCCAACAGCTCTAGATTCTCACTATATCGCTCCCTCCCAACGGAGCTCTCCCCAAGCTATTTCCCACGGCTTCCCCTCCGTCCACCCTGTCGTCGCTTCCGTGTCGCTCCCCCCGCGGCGAAGTAAACTAAACGAGAACCATCGAGAACCCAAGCATCGGAGATGCTTTTGGGAAAAACAACATCATTACATTGGAAAACCCATTAGATCCTCATAAAATCCTAGTGAAATCCTAATTCAATCCCCTGAAATCCCACAAACCATCCTTGAATCATCTTGAATCCCATGAATTCCACATAAATCACCACTAAATCCCGGTAAATTCTCATTAAAAACCTCATGCAATCCCATCACCTAAAATCACAATCAAATCTCATCAAAACCCATGAAATTCATTAAACAAATCTAGGTGAATCCTACAAAATCCATCTAAAATCATCGTGAAATCTCATCAAAACTCATGAAATCCATCTAAGATCCACCAAAAATCCCCCACTGTTCATCCCCACAAGTCCAACGCCGAGCATCGCTCCTCCTTAGACAACTCCTGCAACGCCTCCTGTAGGCGTTGCAAGGCGCTTTTTGTTGCGCGCCGACGCTGCGTCTTGGGCCTCGGGATCTACAAAATGGGGATTTCTATGGGATTTCTCTGTGACTCATGGTGACTTTATGGGATTTCTATATGCTTTTTTCTTCTTGAGACTTGAGATAAGAGATTTTAATGTGACTCTTATGTGAAGTTCAATGGATTTTTTGATGAGATAAATTATACGTTAATTTTAATGGCGTTTTAATCGGGATGTCATTGTTTTTTTAATGGGATCTGATATCACGTGGGATATCAATGGGATTTCCAGGTCGGGAGTTCTGGGTGATGGGATGAGTTCTGGGAATTTGGATGGATTCCATGGGATTTCGGATGTGGTATCTGAAATTGGGATGTATATGGAAACCAAAATGCTATAACTGTATAACCAACAATCAGATACAGTTTTATAACAGTTTTCCATCCAAAACTGACTTTTGTATACTTTTGTGGGTCTGATCCAAACTTTTGAACCCTTCGGTGAATTACGTTAAAATTAATTCGTTGCTTCATCGTTACCCTCTGGTAAACTAACATAACTATGGAAAATCACCATTTTTAATGGGTAAATCAACTATAAATGGCCATTTTCAATAGCTACGTTAAATTACCAGAGGGTACCCCACCAGAGGGTACCCCATCTAACTAGTTATAGATCATCCTCACAGGCTCACAGGTCGCCTGGTAAAATACTGGTGGATTTAGCCAAGTTTCCACCACATAGAAACTTGGGATCATTCTCCCAAAAATGGAAAAATATCCTCCCCTGAAGTGAAAAAAAACCAGTTAGAACTAACCAAGTCGTGACCATCCATTGAACTAAAACCTATGGTGACGACCCAAAAAAGGGAGTCCTTCATTTTGAGAAACCACGATTTCTAGGGTTGAAGATGTTGAAGATGTGGCTGAAACCACCAACCAAAGCCATGTTAGGCCCACTGAGGTAAAACTGCTGGATATATCCATAGCGTTCTATAGTTTAATGAGCTTATGTACCAACATAAAACATATCTGAGGATTGGATTTGTTCTTGCAGTTCAACGTATGTTTTTGTAAGATCCTTCCCACATATTGGAACTTGATGCTTTCTAGATCCCCGGATAATGTTTTACACTCAGCTATGATCCCTCAAGGTCAGTCCCACTGTGCAGAATCGTCTTGGCATCGAAACATTGCGACTTTATGGGTTTATAGTCATCCGAATCCCATCCGGGGATAAGAACGTTGGGTAATCAATAGATGGTCTAAGATGTTAATATCAGTTGACTCGAGAAAATGCCAACATCAGCTTTGGAGGCTTTGGAGGGTTCCATTTCGAAATGTGGCCAATCTTTCTTACCGTACCCTTCAGAAAGCACCAAGTCTTTAGTCAATGGCCATTTCAGGATCCTAAAATGGAGGTACCTACCATATATAAGGCCTATATAAGGCCTATGTAAGGGAATTATACTTCAACAAAAAAACATTTCGCAACAGCTGAAGCATTTTCAATCGCCAGTGACCAGTTTACGCTGGTGAGATCCCGATCTTTCCCGGGACCAAAACGGTTGCAGCTCCACGAATATCTGCGGCTTAGAGTTCGCCATAACTATATGGAGACATTAGATCCCAACTTGACTATGGAACGTATTGCTATAGCTGTACATTTTGTTTAAACCATTATGAACCATCAATAATCATTTAAAAAATATTAACCATCATTAACCATAAATAAAATCATTATTAACCATCATTAATCATAAATAAAATCATTATGAACCATCATTAATCATAAATAAAATCATTATTAACCATCATTAATCATAAATAAAAATCATTATTAACCATCATTAACCATAAATAAAAACATCAATTATTAATATTAACATCATTAATCATAAATAAAATCATGATTAACCATCATTAACCATACATAAAATCAGTATTATATAACCATCATTAACCATACATAAAATCATTATTAACCATTATTAACCATTCTTATCCCATAGTTGTACTTATTGTACTTAACAACCCCAACTGGGCACCTACCCCAGTACACACAGTACATCTGCCGTTGAGCGATGGCCCCTGAAGCCCCTGAGCTACCCAGGCGGGCCCCGAAACTGGGCTACCTGAGTGCCATGACTCATCGACAGCCCAACAGCATTACCAACGCTACGCAGAATTGAAACTGGATATAGTGTTTATCGTTCATTATGATGTTTATCTATTGTCCATTACATCTATATTCAAAGTATTTCTTGTATCCATGTTCTATGGGTAAAATGTGGGCATCTGAGATATCTGTAGGTTTATCGTGATTTCCCCTCTGGTGATTTGTTTCATAGCTCTGGATGGCCCAAAAATACTTCGAGGGTTTGCTCTTTTTTGTCTGTTAATTGTCCATAGGTTGAATTATCAGAGCGTATCATGTATGGGCGCACGCAACCGCAACACAAGGGGGGTTGAAAGCCAGCAAAGGCCAAAAACGACAGCTTCCAACAAGGAGAATGGCACCAACAAATACAGAGAATTAAGGAAAATACGCCCTTGGAGTTTTCAACATAATCATCAATGATGGTTGATTCAATCTCGGAATCCTCATCATTGAAGATGTTGATTCAATGGGATAAACCCCACAAATACATATGATCTGGGTATAATATTTCACTAACCTGAATAGTTGGGCCATAAATGGGGATGATTTCCCGAATCCTAACCATGATTCCAGTGAGGTCGCTGTGAGGTCGTTATAATTTACCCAGATATGATAATCAACAACCATTGTGGGGATGATCCCATTGAATTTAAGCGGCAGAATCGTGAGACCCTCGACTTGCTAGCCATGGATCGACATGAACGATGACTGATCGGTTCTTCAGTCGTGCTTTCCGTAGCTATGTTAGTTTACCATGCAGAGGGTATATAATGGTGTATATATATATGTGATATGTGAGTAATTATATAAATTATATACCTAGACCCCAAAAAAATGATGAAACATGGCTCTTTTACCAATTGATACCAATTGTCGCTTTACAGGATCAAGCGGTAACCCATGGTCAGGGTCAAGTCACATCCAAATTCAACGGAAAATCACATGCTACAAGCGGGTGTTACCACCATCATGCATAGGTCAAGTCGGTACAAGGACAAGGAATAATTTTTTTGGATTGGTGTAAGGGAAAATCTGAACTGGAACCCCCCTATATTTCATGGTAAAAAAACATGTTTATATAAAAACTATGGTGTCCGCTGAAGATTTTACAAAACCAATCCATTGAAAGCAACAAGCACCAGCACACCGCACCACCACCAAGTGATGATGCGTGGTGCAAAGATCTCTATAGAAATATGATGAAATGTGAACCGATGATCTCAAAACGGCAATATATTACCCTCTGGTAAACAAACAGTTTGCTATTGAAAATGGCCATTTATAGTTGATTTACCCATCAATAGCATGGTGATTTTCCAAAGTTATGTGTTATGTTAGCTTACCAGAGGGTACACATATATCAAAAAAATGTGAGTTATTGCTTATTACTATCGCAATCACCAGCTGATGGAAATAGAGATAGCAATCCAACAAGATCGTCAGAAATATTCAGTCTAGTAACATTATCCCCACATAAACCACAATAGTTCCAGGGGTTTTCACGATGTGTGGGCTTTTGTACATGCAACCAGCACAAACGGCTTTTTGACGGTCTTATAGGTTTCGTTGCTCAAGGTGCTAGAAGCAAGAAAATCGAGGAGAACTTGCGGTTTACAAGGTTGTCTAATCATGGTTCTAGGGCTTTATCGGGTCCCCCAATTTTTCACCGCTCAGCGACTCTTCTCATCTCTCTTGAGATTAGCTTCATCTGCCTCGCCGCTCAGGATCAGCAAAAAGTAATGAACCATGGGTTTGAACTAGTCTGTTAGTATCTACTAGGACATTTTTGGCAACCAAATTCCTAGAAACCTGCAACCCGACGAGATGCTCATCCCCATGTTGCCAAAATTGCTGGAACCACCTGCAGTGGGGGACCCCGAGTTATAACTTATAACCAACATCTGACTCTATGTATTAGTATATAATATATGATATGTTTACTATGCTTAATGGTATTTACTATGCTTAGTGGTATTTGGTTAACTAAATATATAATATGATCTATATATTTAGTTAACTAAATACCATTAAGCAGGTGATTTGCACCAACTTAGGCCCCACATTGTGGGGCCTCTCAAAGCTTTGCAACTGTCAGCCCCAAAAGGATGGAAAAGTGAATTCTCACTATTGGAATCTAGTACGATGTTAATGTCTACCTTTTTTGGGGGGTTGCTGTAATCGTGAAAATCAAATTAGCGAATCTTTTGGATGCTGATCCAAAACTGAGATAAACCTGCGCAAACCAACAAGGATGAAACGTGGACCCTCATGAGCACTGTAGTTTGCATGAAGCCACCATTTGAAACGAAACATTCCGACATCGGTCATGCCTCAAAACTGAATCAAAAAATACTGTTTCGCTTTTTCTATTTGGATGTGGTAAGACCTTACCATCATCATGTTGTGAATAGGCCCAGTTGGGCCCGGTCGCTATTGCCACAAGTCCCCGGATCATGGTGTGCCTCCTCTTCTTGCTCTGTCTCTTCTTCTGCTTCTTCTAAGGTTGGCATGAGCCTGTGCGACTGAAGGAACCCAGGTTTAACCAAGCCCCCCAATCATTACTGTAGGTACCATCTGGTTATTTAACATAGCCATGGTATAGATGGCCCATTTATAGATGGTTCACCTATTTAAAAATGGTGATTTTCCATGGCAAACTGTTAGTCATAACCAGATGGTAGGTCTTTTTTTAAGGGCCGAGTTAGAGAACCAACGACGACAAAGTCGGGCGAATCTGGACCGTCCATTCTTGATCCCCCTGGGCCAGTGTCTACCAGTGTCTACCCCACATACAGGACATCCGTGAATTTTTATATGTCAATGACACTAGAATAAACCATGTCTACCAGTGGCTATAAAAAACCATGTCTACCAGTGTCTACCATCTGGTTTTTTTTTATGTCAATGCTGTTTTGTTGAGTTTGCTAGAAAACATCAACGGGCTTCGGCTGAGCAATGTGCCAAATATATCCAAATATCTGCTTGTAGTTATGTTCATGAACATCTGAGTACAGTAGCTGAAGTGTATATTAAATAGAATCATTGTAATGTCAGTGTTCCATCTGGGTATATCACATAATCTGGTGAACTAATAAGTGCTTGACTCAATGTCATTCTCCCGTTGTGTATATATATATATATATTAGTGTGTATTTATATATATATATATATCATTATATCATTATCAACATCATTTAAGTGATTTTCAATATCCCCATGACATCCCATGGCTATATGATACTCGTGTTAAATTGGACATACCAGGTTATATCATGTTGTGTCTGGTGACAAAGAACCATTGGTTCGTAACATTCGTATCCCCATGGTGATACCAACCCACCTTCATGGCACCGGTGCTGATGACGCAACTCTCGTTGTAACTGTCCGAGGAAATCACCTGAATCCAAGGACTCGAGAAATGTCAACAGCTGCACAGCCACAGTTGTCTTCCTATAAAAAGATTCATGACTCTCAGGCTATCTTGAAGTTCATTCTTCAGGTAAAGGATGCTAAAGACGGGTTTTGTTCGAGTCTTTCTCCTGTTTGAAGACCATAAAATGGAAGAACACGTCAGCTGGCCCTCACCATATGCAGCTTCCGGCAGAGCACATCCTGATGACTAAGGTGCAAACAGACATGGTCAACGAAGACATGACCTGGTCGCTGGTCCCATTGGGAGATCTGATCGCCGATTTATAGCAGTGAAGTATTGGAAATGGGCAGCAGAAAGGGGAAAAACATGGTTAGGGTAGTGAGCATCTGTTTCTATTCTAAGTGTCCAGAAAGAATCACTGCGTTTTTCACATCAATTGTGGGTTCCAACCCCTTCCAAGTGGGATAACTTCAGAGATTCCTCAGTGGTCCGAACTCGGCGTCCACACGTTTTTGGTTTTACGCGCGGTACGCGACAAATCGCCCCAGGGCACTCCAGAGAATGTGGCTGCAGAAACCATCGATTTTTTGAGGTCAAACATGGGGTATCCATTGGGTACCGATGCCACAAATTTCATCAAATCGAGTGCCATAAACTGCATGTTTTGGCCATCCACTATTGGGAGGTTGATGCTGTAATCCCCAGGCTTGGTATGCTAACCACCAATCCTTGGCTGAATATCTAATGCGCCCACGGTTGATCCTGATGAACCTTCATTGAAGGTCTTTCAGATGAGTTAGACCTGCTGCTCTAAAGACCGTCTTAGACTGTACACATGGCCAATCTTAGATACCCTGCAAAAATACAAAATCTTAGATACCCTGCAAAAATACAAGCTTTTAGCTGGTTGAATAGTGTCCATCCAAAGTTTATACACAGCATAAATCAGTGCAAAATGTCAACTCATCCAAGTTTGACCCGTTGGCTTCCCTTTTTGGGGTCCAAACACTACCGCAGCACCTCCAAGGAGTGGGAAATGATGGGAAAACTTGGTGGACAAGAGTGTTCGCGAAGGGCGCAGAAGAGCAACTGTTTCCTAGCTTTATCATACATAATCATATAGATATATATTATATACAGTAAATATATTGCTGTTCTATATTCTAGAACACTCGGATGATTTCATATCCTTTCAATTCATATACTGTATATACGAGTACGTATATATAATATCTATAAGCACCATCTGCAAACTTCAAAATCTATGGTTCCAGACAGGTCTAAGTAGACAAGTTGACCCCACACCTCTTTCCAAGATTTCTCCTCCTCTTTTTTGCGAAAAAGCGCCACACAGAGTTAGACTCAGACCACTGCCCTGTTCACGTTTGCGATGGCGGTCCGCTGTACAGAAGTGGCGGATCTGGTTCTGCGGTGCAGCCCGACCTGCTACGACTCTGAACGTCACTGCGCTCAGAAATCACAGCAGGAGCGAAGCAACGACTGGCTGACTGTCTGAAATTGGGGTACCCATGGGTACCCACAAAATCCCTTGGTTTCTCATAATTTGTCCCATAAATGGTGGTATCCCGGTATTCCCACTTTGAGACAAAGCCACATTACATCCACCAGGCACCAAAGATGGACGACCAGGGAAAAACATCCATGGCCACGGGGTTTTACGCCATTCCCCGTGAGGACGTGAGGATTGCTGGCTACGATTCCTAAGGCTGGGCACCTCAAAAGTACAAATGAACCGCATCACCGAACAAAGTCTGCATTCCAAGCACTCTGCTTCTTGTGATCTGATTTTGCCCAACCTACTGCTACTTTCTCTTGAAATTCCATGAGATTCCTGCCTCTGACTTGGCTGAAGGGAACAGCCATGTAGCCCGCTCATAGATTTCAATGGCATTATGATGTCCTGCAAACAAATAAATGTTCCCTTCATCCGCTTCAACAAACTGTCATCCGTTTCCTCTCATCGAAATTCATCGAAGTCGTAGATTGCTGGGACTGGCCACAGGCGTCACGGGAGTTGAGTCACAGAAACAGCTGGGGTCCTGGAAGACCATCGCCAGTCGTTGCTCAACCTTGGCTAAGCGGCTACCCGGCTACCTGATGGTAGTCCAGGACGGAGGGATGATGATGCGCATCACAGTCGTTCAGATCAACCCAAAAAAGAACAGCTGTTGTACAATGTTATACATCACGCAGAACATATCCCACTGATCAGTCTGATCAGTATTGATCAGCATCATTATAGCATATATTTTGGCCTCGTTCAACCTGACCAAGCCACAGTTTGCCACTGCTCCACCACCACCGGTGACATGGGCGACATTGGAGACACCGGAGATCGCTGTGCCACCACCACTGGGGAGGACATCGGTGACGTGAACACCGTGGAGATGGGAGACGCCACCGGGCTGCGGGCGATGCCGGCGATCGGTGTCTGAAAGACCGTGACGTTCGAAGGCACGCGTGGGACTGGCCTTGGATGGCCTGGGGGCTGGCCTTTCGGTGAACACAAAAATCATAAAATCCCAGTCTATACCATATGGCTATGATGGTATATACGTCAACTGTTGGTATTGTTGTTTATTTGTCATAATCATTGATGGTATTGGATGGTATTGGTATATAACAATGGATGTTCATCCGCGCAAAAAAAACAACATGTATGATAGGTGTTGATCCATCCCCATGACACTCTTGGCGGTGTTTTTGTGGGGATTAGACATTGAAGTCACTGAAGCTTCAAGCAACAATATCAAAAAACTGGAAACGAGCGGAACATATCAACTCGTGTGCGTGGCAAAAGATGGAAAGATTTCAGTCTCAACCGTCTCAACCCAACTAATGGGAAGATCGACCAACGAATTTCAGGATGGAAAAATGGAAGATTGATCGAGGATGATCAAGGCCTATAGAGCAACAAAGATGTTGATTATACCGATTAAACCGATTAAACCGATTAAACCTGTAAGAACTGTGGACGGTCTCACCGCGAAGTATATATTCTGAGTTCGTAGATGTGATTCATAAAAGAGGAACCACACTCCGTGATAGAAATTCCCGGTGCTTTATGGGTCCCCAAACGTGCCATTCAACAGTGATAAACCACAACCTGGCGGTGCAGTTGGGGTTGCTAATGGGAGTAGCCATGGCGATTTCACCCTAAGTTGGCATACAAACCCCGATCCTCGATCCCGGAAAATGGCCAGCGGCAAAAAATGACTGGAACTCCACCCCAGAAATGTTTGGATTCTTGTATATTGTGTTAATACATCTTATATGAGGGTTTCCATAAATGGGGGTACCCCAATAGCGGGATGGAATCTGTATGGATTTTCTAAGTGTTTTTTGTGGAAAATCCCATTAAAATAGATGAGTTGCGGGTACCCCATTTCAGGAAACCTCTACTTGGAAACCATCCCCCAGTCATCACCATTTTTATGTGGTATAAGCCATTTCCAAATGGGTTGTTTATGGCATGGTTTTACTTACATTATACGAGTACCCTCCAGTAAATTAACATGGACCCTGGCAGATAGGGGTTGGAAGATTAGTTTCCACGAAAAGAACGTAATTTTTCGGGGTCTATTCTCTGGTAAACTAACATAACTAATTATGGAAAATCACCCATTTTTTCCAGAGGATAAGTTCCAGCTCCACCAAGCAACCGAAAAGTGCCAACCACCTGCGACACGACGGGCGAGCCCGAGCTTGGACTGACCTCCACTCGATGGTATCCCTGCGGGGGTGCTGTCTCGGCGCGCAGGCGAACCACCCGGGGGAAGAAGGGAGAACTCCCATCCACCTGGGAAGAAGTGGAGCCGCGGCGTCTTTTTGGGGGGTTAACAAATCATTCATTTTGGTATATTTTGGTACCATTTATCCAGAATTTTTGGAGGGTTAACAAATCATTTGGGTTAACAAACCAAGAAAAGTGGAGTTTCGTAGAACAGATCCGGTCATCATCTGGACAAGTTTGAATCCATCGTCTAAAAATCCACCAATTCTTGCGGAAGTTGATTGGAAAAATGGAGGATGGGACCGCAGGATCCATGGATCAGGAAAACTCCCAGATTCCAGTCGATTCCTCCAGTATTCCATAGTTTTCCAACAGTTGGCCTGGTTGAAAACCTTTCAAAACCCTTGTTTTCGCCCAAAATCGCTGCTGTTGTTTAGTCCCCATATGTGACATGATCCATTATAATTATCATCCATCCAAGGGATTTGCACAAGATTGCGCAATTTTTATAGGTAAACGGTGTTTTTTTCAATCATGAGTCTTTGGTGTTTTAACATTTCAAACGAACGAATCCGAAAAGGGCCCAAAATTGGGTACAAGTGGTGTCGACCCACAACAGTTCATATTTTTAGTATGATCATAAAATATCATAAACCATCTATTTCTGGGTGTCAATATAAATCCAAACCATAAAATAATTAGAAAAAATATGAAAAAATAACATCATGACAGGCGGCTCCAGCCGCCGGTTGAGTCGCCATGGCACGACAACACCGTAAAAAAAATCTGACTCGCCGACTACGCGTTGACTGCGGCAATGGCAAGGACCAAAAAGTGTAGCAAATTGGGGTGGAAGATGCGCAACTATCCAGAACTCAAGGCAACTCTGGGATTTGGGATAATAATTGGGATTATAACTGGCATTGTAATGAGAAACCAATTGGAAATAACTGATTGTTTTTTTTTCCCTGTGCGAAGTCGCATGGCATAGCATCACCTGGTGGATCTTCTTTGTGCTTGGACGTCATCAACTCCAGCATTGGATTGGCTTCACTTCCGGTCAACAATAGGAGGCTTGTCTGAAACAATGGTACCCAAAAATCCTGAAGGAGAACATCTTTGTCTCATTGAAATTGCCCAACAATTTGAAGGAGAAACCCGCGAATTGTTTCGCTGCTTAAACCCACCATTGTTGCACAGAGCATTACTTTTGGGACTTCACCCAATCATTACATAACCATAAAATCGCGAAAGCTTGGTCAGGTATGGTTAGGTTAGGTATAGCCCATTTTCGGACGAACCCAAATCATATTAAGTTGGTCAGGTATATCAGTGTGTATACCCATTCCCATCAGGAATTCCCTGTAGCATCCCCCCCAAAAAGAGATAGAAAAGCAACATCCCACTGGAATAGCGATGAATCTATATGGCAGTGTGTCAAAACCTTGTACCCCTGGTGAACATCAAAATAGCTGGTAAATGGATGTTCATCCCCCTAAAAATGGTATTAATAGGTATTGATCCATACACATATGAATCTAACCTGTTCTATCCTTTTCTATCTTTTTGGCAATTTTCCCTATAGTTGATGCTTAAAACACATCAATTTCATCACCGTTTCAAGGGCCGCGCTCCACGACGTGCCCAACGTGCACAGCTTTTCAGAGCGTCTCGACGCTGTCCGCTTCGCGCAAGGTTTCGAAGATGGCTCGAGCCTGCTGGGGGTCGGGATGAGATGAATGGATGTTATCGATTTTAACCAACAGGCTTTTAACCAACAAATATCGGGATTTTATCATAGAAACACGATGAAATCATGGATTTTCGATGGCAGTGTTTTTTTTTGCGGATCTGCTAGAAAAAAAAACAGGCCGTTCACCAAGAAATACGGATCTAGCCATCAAATTACGCCGACGAAAATCATCGAAAATATAGATTTAACCATGATTTAACCAAGAAAACGTATATAATGAATTTTACCAACTAACATGGATTTCAAAAATATTTAAGATGATTTAAGAATGTATGTGAATTTATATAACATTATAACCAAGTCAAACAGGGATTTAACCAACAAATAAGCTGGATCCAACCAAAATGAACCATGAATCTTCCGAAGTTCAAACCGTCCAACCCGACGGTTGGTTTATTCCAAGCATTCCAAGCCAGACATTTTGCGATGTGGCAGTGGATCCATATGGATACTTCATGACGTCTTGCAAGAGTTGATGTGGGTCAATTTAAGATACCCTCTGGTAAACTAACATAGCTATTGAAAATGGCCCAGTAGAAATAGTTGATTTACCCATAGCATGGTGAATTTCCAGTTCGTTATGCGGCTGTTTACCAGAGGGTAATTATCCCGATATCCCCCAACATTAGAGATGGTCCATGCTTCAAAATCATCAAACCTTTTCAAATGGTCCAAGAAAAACCACATCCGCCAGAGTTTTCCAAGATCATCCCATCCATCCCATCTCCTGTAGTGGCGACGTTGATCCCGAAGAATAGCGCCTGGTGAAATGTCATGGGATCTGCCATGCCTGGCACGACTTTGAAGACTTTGATGCTGATTCAAGGGAATTGAAATACTTACCCTCTGGTTATGATTAACATAGCCATGGAAAATCACCATATTTAATAGGTAAAGCCGGTAAAGCCTATATTTAATAGGTAAAGCATCTATAAATGGACCATCTATACCATGGATCTAGGGGGACCACTCGCCTACGAATCATAGAATTTGAGGTCCCCACCCCAAGCTCGAGCCGTGCCTATCGGGAGTCTTGCACGCAGGAGCACCTCATTTTTTTGGAAGTTAAAGGCTATTTCCCCTGGAATCCTGGAAGGAAATGGTATGTTGAGTAGGTGGTGGTTTCAACTAATCCCTAATATGTGGGTTTGTCATACGATACCCTCGAAAATGATGGTTGATCATCATGTCCATCGCTTTGCCATGTGAAATTCATCTACCCCTGTTTCAGACACGCCCATTTCTTCAAGCAGGTCGATGCCATCATCCGATCTGCTGAGCAAACTTCAAGGCGGACGCGCAGATTGGCTGCTGATGTTTCGGAAAACAACAACGATCATGCAAGTTTTCTACCCGAATGAGACAAAGGTGGTACGAGTACAGTAAATCACTGTAAACCCTAACACCGTACCAATAACACAACAAGGGGTAGTTATGTTTGGCGAGAAAAAAACACATGAAATCCCCATGTTTTGTCTCCCAAAATCCCATGAAACTCCACCCCTTGAGCCCAGCTCCTTCCTTCCAGGCCCCCCACTGGGCCATGGCCCAGGGGAAGACGTCCATTGGAAGCACAAGAGGAGCACCTGCGTGGGGCACTGGAAGATTGAAGGACTTGATGGGATTTTATGGTGATTTCTGAGGATTTCATGTGGATTTACTGGGATTCAATGGTGATTTCATGGGATTCAAGGGTGACTTAATAGGATTGAAGAAGAGTTTTCATGGGATTTAATTTCATTTACTGGGGGGTTGATGAGATATCACCAACCAATTATAGTGACTAATCCCTTCGAATCCCTGGTTTAGTGGGCCCAATTAGATCCAATTTTAGGATTCTCATATTAGTTCCATACCCATTCTATGGTCCCAATGGTCCCAAAATATGAGTGAATCCCCCTATGATTTGGTCCCATCGTTTCTGGTGGAAAAAAATAGATCTTCAGGATTATCATGATGATTAATATGATTAATTAAATTTAATTATCATCACAACAGTCACAATCTTCATCATCAAACAAGTCATTGGATCATTGGACTGGTTTAAGGGAAAGTTGGCAGCGGAAACCTCCAGGACTGTCACAGGAAAAGCCATGGTTTCCGGTGAAGTCTGAGATGGTCCCTCTGAAGTGGTTCCTGGAGGTATCCCAGCTCCAGTTTTCATCTGTTTTCTGGGGGACGCAGCACTAAGATGAATTGTGTTATTACCCTGGAGGGAACATTCCCTGGAGATAGCCTGGAAGATACCCTGGAATTAAGGGCTTTAGATACTATCTATAATTACTACAGTAAACTTTGGAATAAATGATAAGAGGATATACTGTTGAACTAGAATGAATCATACTGTAATGAATCACTGACCCTAGATTCACAGAGCCGGGCCAGGAATCATTTTCTTGCTGCAAACGCTGCATAAACGCGTGGATTGAACCCCAAAGGGTCAAATTTCACAAACCAGAAACTGCTATCTCCCCAGTCTTTGTTGAAGCATGTCGAAGTCATGTCTAGTTGTACCCACGTCACTCAGATTGGATCAACAAACCTTTTGTTTTGGATTCTATCTATACTCTATACCAAACCATGAAGTCCTCATAATTTGCTGAGATGCAGTTGCCAACTCCCAAAAACTTCGGAGTTACTTTTTGGTTTTGTTCAGTTTACGTATATAATTATGTAGTGTTGAAAGAATGTCTGGATTCATGCATCGAGGGTTCAAGAAACAGTTCCAAGATTCAATTCCAGCCAGCTGGAAGTGGATAGCTTTACCCTGTGCATCCAAATGCCTTCTTAGATACTACAAGAGACCCAAATCATACCCTCTCAGAAGGAATTTGGATACATAAACCAGACAAAGCCTAGGGATTAGATTTTCCCTCCGTGACAGCAGAGTTTTCTCCTCACCTTTGCTGCTTGTCGCAGCTTCTCCACTTGGCGGCTCCCAGGCAACCGCCCAGTCACCTGCAGCCAAAGCAAGGAGATCATGGGGATATCATGGGAATATCATGGGATTAATATGAATGAATGGTGATTAATATCTATCCTATCTAATGGAATAGTTATGATTAATGGATATTAGTACTTACTATATATGCACACATTATACATATTAATGATTCTATAGCTTATGGGTTTATAAACCACCGTAAACCAACCACCATAGGGTCATTTAACAGTTCGTCATTGAAGACATGACCCGCGATCCATGTATAAAGATGATTTGCGGTTTTCAATGATTTTCCAGTTGTCTTTAAATGATTGTCACGGATACGTCCTAGAGACTTACCGCAGGAGCTGCGGACGACTGTGAATGATGGGCAAGACATACCAAGAATGATTCGGATTACTATCTGGTTGGTGGCATACCTACCCCTCTGAAAAATATGGGTTCGTCAGTTGGGATGATGACATTCCAAATATATGGAAAGTCATAAAAGCCATGTTCCAAACCACCAACCAGATCCTATGGTTTTCCTATGGTTTTCCTATAGTTTTCTATGGCTTCCATGATATGTTCCAAAGCACCAACCAGCTATAGCTGGTTGCTGAATGATGGGATTTCAACCATCACTTGAACCATCACTTGAAAGGGAATTTTGGAATTCTTTCCATGATTTTGAAAGGTCATGTTATCACAAACTGTTGGCTCCCGGAAGACTCCCAACAAAGGACAATCATCCCTGATGAAGTCCATCTTGCTGGGAAGTTCCAACCTGATGCTTGGGAAAAAAAACGGTTCCATACGCACTCAATGGCGCCAATGATGATACACCCAGTTTTTTGGGGCACCCTATTTTTGGAGAAACCCATGCTGGTTGGTGGTTTTAACCATCTTGAAAAATATTAGTCAATGGGAAGGATTATCCCATATATTATGGAAAATAAAAAATGTTTGAAACCACCAACCAGCATGTTTTTTTTCACCTGTGCTCCACTTGTCAAAAATTGCGCCACTCAGAATCATGTCCCGGATAGAATGCTACCACAGCAGATCTGCACAGCATATGACATACTTGGATGCTGAAGATCCTGCATACATGACTGCCAGGTAGCTATATGGGGGTTTCCATAGTCATGGGGGTACCCCACATCATCCATTTATAGATGGATTTTCCATGAAATAAACCATCCAGCTATTGAGGTACCACCATTTTTAGGCAACCATATCTGAAATAGATTCGACTTCAATTCGACGGGCCACCTGCAAGTCTTGAAGCTGGGTGATCTCAACTACCAGTAGTTGCGATGGATAGAAGACAACGTTGCACCATCCGCTCATAATCCCTTTTGGGAAATCATCCACCAATTCAAATGGACTTCGTCATGTTCATTATCAACTCGGCATACATGATATAGTATCAAAGCTTGATATCATAGATATGTATGATGATGTATACAAACGTGAAGCAAATGCAGTGCTTTATTCACTTAGTTATTCCTCTATATTATCTATCTATTCATTTGTTTTATCTATGCTGTTCATCATCAAATCAACCCCCCAAAAAAGAAATTCCACATGGTCAAGAAAAACTGGTTAGTACATCCTGCAAGAAAAACTGGTTAGTACATAAATCACCATAGAAAAAAGAAATGTTAGTAAATGTTAGTATTACCTACAGTATCACCCTTTACCAAGGGTCAGGCGGCTTACCCGTATATTTGCGACGCTTCACAAAGGTGCAGTAAGTAGTCACCCCCCAATAGGAGGTACCCCCAATCATCCAAGTCACTAGGCCGTGGCTTAGTATTGAAACCCGTTTTGTGACTTGGGGTACCCCCATGACTTGGGAAACCCCAACTTGTGTAATCAAACATGGCAATGGAACAATCCCCTATAAAAAGATGTTTCAATGGGAAATTCATCTATGAATAGGCATGTTCCATTGAGATGTTTGATTGCCGGAGTCAAGTTGTCACGATTTAAGATGACTTGGCAGTGTGTCAAAACCTTGTACCCCTGGTGAACATCAAAATAGCTGGTAAATGGATGTTCATCCCACTAAAAATGGTATCTATAGGTATTGACCCATACCCACTTCATCTTCTAGTTTTTTCTGCACACCTCTGCCCAAATCTGAGGCTCCAGCCGGAGCACGACTCGCTGCCAGCCCCACGCTTTCGCCCGCAGCCCTAACAGGTGGCGACCATTGATTTTGGACGACCAAGAATGGTGCTTTTGAATCTCTACCAAGTTGGATCTGGAGAAATGAATAGGATTTGACCAGCCAAAATTGGCAGATTCGCAAAAAAATGCCGGGGTTTTTTTACGAGCTACAATGGAAATCGGATCCATGAAAATTGAGAGTCTTGCGATCCAAAATTGGGATCCGACCTTAATGAAAGTCATTGAAATCGGGGTTCAAAAATCAAGGATGTAACATGATGCAACCTCAAAAATATGGATCCAACTATGTTTAAATAATCCCAAAAACAGTATTTGGTACAAGATTGAACATCTTCATCAAAATAGTACCAAGCCAAGGTTTTCCTTGCAGGTCCCTTGATCCAGGAATTGACGCCCTGCCATGACTGATATAACCATTATTGTGGAGTTGGAAATTTGCGCTACATGGTTGGGTGTGTCACTTAAGATGGTTCCAATTCTATCACTGTACAACTTGTCGGCGTTTCTATGGCGGGACACAAGAAATGCATGGTGAAAGCAACCGCAAAATAATTTCGATGCGCCCATGTATTATCAATCCATATTCCTTGCACTGTTTTATGAAACTTACCATGGAGTTTGTTCGTTTCAGCCGCTTGACCCCACAGTTTGCCTCTCAAGTGCAAGGTGTGCAAGCCCAGAAACCAACCAAATCCAACATTTTCGGGAAATTTTCGGGACAGTTATCGCTCCGGTCTTTGGAGGATTTATCATCCCGAACATTTCCGGTCAATCTCCTGTAGATGGTTTATTTTTACCCAGTGAATTACAGCTGACCCATCCCATCACAACCCCAAAAATAGATTGGTTTCAGGATCAGGAAACTTCCGGACCATCAACCCCCCCCAAAAAAACAACTTGGATTTGCTTAAGATGGCCCAAAAATAGATTTTCTACAAAAACAAAAAACTATAGATTCCCCAAGTAGTGGATCTTCCATTGGGAGAATAACAAATCACATTCAGCAAACCCAAAGAACGACAAAACCCGGCCGGACCCAACCTCCACCACTGGCGAGTGGCCCGGATCAGGTTACAATCAGCATCCTGCAAGCTTCCGGTCCCCAAAATTGGGGTGACCATCCCCCAAAAAAAATAGCCAACCTGAGATTCCCAAAAGATGAGTTTTTGGTAGTACATATGTTACATATAATATATATGTGTATATAATGTGTATATATATATATGTATATATATATATATGTGTGTGTATACATACACATATATATATATACATACATATATATGTATACATATATATGTATACATATATATGTATACATATACTGTATGTATACATATACTGTATGTATACATATACTGTATGTATACATATACTGTATGTATACATATACTGTATGTATATATATATACTGTATGTGTATGTGTGTATGTATGTATGTATGTATGTATGTATGTATGTATGTATGTATGTATGTATGTATGTATGTATGTATGTATGTATGTATGTATGTATGTATGTATTTATGTATGTATGCATGTATGCATGTATGCATGTATGCATGTATGCATGTATGCATGTATGCATGTATGCATGTATGCATGTATGCATGTATGCATGTATGCATGTATGCATGTATGCATGTATGCATGTAAGTAAGTCAGTAAGTGAGTGAGTGAGTGAGTAAGTAAGTAAGTATGCATGTATGTATGTATGTATGTATGTATACACATCACTGTACATCTCCAATAATCTCCATATTTTGCTGGAAATTATTATTGAAAATTGATTCGCCTGGATCTGCTGGTAGAGAGCTGCGCACTCCTGGCTTGGGTAAAACGGCAGGACTTTGAAGGTAGAAACATCTGAGTTCCTCATTTGGGGGCTCCCATTTTTTGCCAATGGATTTTTATGGATTTATGATATTTAATGGGAAAACCAATGCTGAAAAGGGGCCCAATTTTGGGAAACCCGAATTTCTGGAAGATTAAATTAGAGCTCCAGCTGGCTCCCCATAGAAATATGGAATATGGATACCCGTGGCTCGTTAGCTCCCTTCAAACCACTGGATAGTTTTCTGTATCGAGTCCCCAATTTTTGGGATGAGGGTAAATAGATTGATATCCCATGATATTCCCATGAATCAGCCGTTCATATTCCATCAATATGCCACTAATATTACCATGATAGTATTAACTGTTTGGGTTCATGGTATTATAACTAGTAATTATTACTATTATAACTATGACTATAATAGCCTTAATAGCCATATCCTCAGTTCTTGAGATTTGTTTTTCCCGAACAGTTCCAGGGAGCTCCGGGGTAGCTCACCCCACTAGTCCGAGCCTCCTTCGACTCTTCCACCAGCTGTTCCACTTTCTTTCTCTGTCCCTGAAGCAGCGAGCTGTGAGATGTGGAGATTGGGCGATTGGATTCAGAGACCCACTCCGGAAACCATGGTTTCAACTGCGCCAAACCATTGGCTTCCTGCAGAGTTTCCCACCAATAACCGAGCAACATTTGGGGGTTCTTGTGAGGTCACGATTTGCCTAGACATGCCTAGACCAATATAACAGCCCAAGATTTTGCGGAGATAACCAGCAGGGAAGGCAATTCAACAACTAAACTGGGAAGGTCTGGGAGTGATTTCATTGACAACCTGTGATATGCTGCTACCAACATCTACCAACCAATTAAGTGCTACTATTTTTCAGCAATGATATGCCACGGCCCAGGTCTCTAGGCTTTACTCTGAAACATCCCTTCAGCAAAAATGCTCGAAGTTGGAAGGCACAAGTGGGAAAGGCATCGATGACTTGCCTAACTTCAACAGGTGCAAGTTCCAATCAGAATCATTCTGAAATTCTGACACCGAAACAGAACTCTTGAACCAACACATTCTGGGCTTGCATACATAGATACTTTCGCAAACGAGAAATCTGTATCTGTATTCCGCGTGGGAAGCACCAGTAAAATCCTTGCGAAGTCGGAGAGGGCCTCAATCTCCTTCCACTCGGCCTCCTGCACGAGTCAAGTGGGTCCATATTTACCAGAGCCAAGTGTGGGTGCAAATAACTCCAATAACTCTTGGGTTTATGGTAGATATATGATAGATCGAACTATATAGTTTGTTGCTTGGGTTTATAAAGATATAGAGAAACTTATTAACTTGGAGGGCCACGTTGCAGGAACAAGTAGAAAGTTGCAGTTGTGATTCCAGGATCTTGCCATGCACAATCATGCAATGATATGATCGTTAACTCTCTTCATAATTTCCAGGTCTCTAATTGTTCTACCTATGCTTCGCCAGCTGATCACACCTTGTCTGAACGTATCTAAGACCCGAGAGAACCGAAGGAACAAATCCTCCATGTCATGGCGTTGGGGGCAAAACCCAAGGGGCTGGGGGTATCCCTGACGCACCAAGAATCTATTAAGGAGAAAGGTTCAGGTTTCCATTCCAAATTCGTTTTCCCATGCAAAAGTATTTCAAAGTCTTTCTCCCCGAAAAATCCGAAAAAAAAATATAGTTGAGAAAGCCATTCCGCTGCCATATTTGTTTATGATCGACCGTGTTTTTTTCGCAAGCGATATGCGGTCCATGTTGAACCACTCGTCCGCAGCAGCGTACCCTAAGCTGGTTACTTATTTCAATTTGGGGGTAAGCAAAAACCATGGTTCTCTGTTTTCTGGAATTGGTAAAAGGGTATGGAGGTATCGGGTGGTGTCATACCAGTGCTTCATATTGACGGAGGAGAATTGTTTGAGCTCGACTATGGCAAAATGTTGATAAAAGGAATGTGTGAAATGTCTTAATTAACATTGGTAGGGAATTCTTGAATTCCTTGACGCGATGGGATGCTTTGGCTAATGGCCCTGGAAACTCAGATTTGGACAAACTCAAATAATTAATAAAAGTATTGCCCCATCCTTTGTATAGGATCTTGATTTCCTAGAGTCCTAGAGGTCACAAATTCTACTGAACCATACCTGTTTCATCTAGGTCAACTGGCTAGACCCTCATTGCGAAGGTCAATTTCTACCCATCCGGTGCAAGTTGGTTTCGATCCCTGGTTTTGTTGATTGAATATGTTTGAATCAGTTTCGACTCTTGCAAACTAGAATACTGCAGACTGGTAAAACATAGACCCAAAAAATATAGCATACTATAGTTTGAGTGTTGTTAAAGGATGTGAAGCCTCTGGGAGGGTGAAACGGGAAGAATTTTGGAATACATTTGGAGCTTGAATCATGTCGAATCAGTTGAATCCTCCAAACGGCCCAAGTTGAGCGGGTCAAACATCCCAAATAATTTTTTAAAAAACTATATTTGTTGATGGTTATTGGTGGTTAAACCCCAATTCTGGTTGGTTTCGAGAGTTAAACTCATGTCAAACCCCACATCTCATGTTTTTTTTGTTTCACAACCCAAAAATCCCAGTCCTTGCGAGCACAGGCCGCCTCCAAAGACATCAGGCAAAGGCCCAATGCCTTGGAACCCGGTTTTCCCAGAAACCTCCATCTTTTGATTACTGGAGTAAAGAAAAACACCTCCAGGAAGGTTTAGAAAAGCCTCCAGGTTTAGAATTTAGGAAAAGTTTCGAGCATAGTTTCGAAACTCTCAGGTTTTGGAGTTGGATGCGTTACTTTCTGCATCTGTTTTTTAAGGCTACTTTTGCAGGACACCATGTTTATTCTGTCTGCACATATACAGGGGTTCCGATCGTTTAGAACTGTTTGGCGCCGTTTTGGTGCTTACATGTGCTTACTGTGTATATATATATATATATATGTGTGTGAACATTATGAAACTGCCAAGCAGTTTCTCGATCTGATACTATCCACTTGAATGATGCATGACTGCCTACATTTACACCACACCAATCACCCAATTTGAAAGGGAAATAAAGGTAAATAGATTGGCACCATCTGTGATACGAGCTACACACAGTTTGACTTGCTTGCATACGAGGAGTTGTCCAAACCACTCCTGATATGTACAGTAGCCGGCTGCTGATCAGAGTTTGTGGAACGGGATCATCCAGCTTGCCAATCATATCCTTGGCGCATCAAGTTCAATTGGTTTTCTATGAAATTCGGGTCCCCCCCAAAAAAATGATTTATGAGCACGTTTTTATTAGCGCATGATTACATATAGATATGTATATATATATACACCCTCAGGACGCTTGGTTCGCCGTCGCTGCAAACAATCTCGGGGAAGGGGGGGGTTGGGGGAGGTTCGGGGAGGAATTTCGAAGAAAAGGGATTTTGGAGGGGGGTGCAATCACGTTGCAAGAGGCTGCGTTGTGCATGTGTTTCAGGGTGGAATTGCTATGTTACTGCTTTGCTTTCAGGGTGGGGTTGCCACGTTACTGATATGTTTAAGAGTGAAGCAAACCATGAGAAGGCAGAATGCATTGGGTCGACACAGGATCCATATAAAAGCTGCAAATGCACAAGCCTTGGCAGCAGCAGCGCTTCAAAGAAAACCAGGAATGCAAACCATCCTGGAAGCACTGCAGGTGTACAGAACAGCATGTTCCAAAAGAATTGTGCAAACCAGCCCTGCAGATTGCTACGATGGCTGACATGAGTTTAAAACATGAGGTTGCAGCCGACGGCGAAACAGGCGTCCTGAGCTATATATATATATATGGAGGTTTCCTGAAATCCGGGTACCCCTAAATCATCCATTTTAATCTGATTTTCCACTAAACCAGCCAGCTATTGGGGTACCCCCCATTTATGGAAACCCCTCTATATATATACACACATATACATATTTAATATTGCCATTTGAAAGTATCCCCCATTTCCGGATATAACCCTGTTGATGACCGGAATAAAAATGATGTGTTTCACTGCGACCGGCTTCACTTGGCCCCCACGCAAGGGAGAGAAGCATTTGAAACCTCGCCAGGGTCGCAGGAGTGATTGAGAGAACGGCAGCCTCAACACCCCAGATACAACTTGGTGGATCCTCCCAGTGGTTAATAATCATATTCATAAGATATTGCAAGCAATTTATAGATGGGATAAGTAGCCCACTAAGGGGGCTTACTAACCAGGCTTACTAACCAGTTACTAACTGGAATTATCCTCCAAAAAGTGGGAAAAAAATCCGCCCCTTGTGGCGAAAATTCACCGGTTTTTTGGTTGAGGCAAGCCTGCTGAAGAGGCAAGTTTTTCAGAATCTGCAGGAGTTCCCATACTAAAAACTTGGGCTTGTAAAACCCCCACTCCACCAAGTTCCGCAAGCGGAAATCAACCGCCAAGGATTTGATATGATTTGATTCATACCGTATGACCCTGTCCTGTGACCATGATTTCGGACCTTTGTCATCCATCTGCCTGATTTTTCTTAATGGAAGTGGGCAACAGCCAGATCATAAGCCAGTTATACACCTTGACCCTCAATTTACCCATGAAGAAGTATTTTCCCCCTGGTTTTGGTATATTCCACTACCAATCCACTACCGATATATGGGTCAACTGAGGGTCGAGGTATGGGCTACTGCCTCCAGTAAATTAAGACATGGACAACCATGGCTTCCCATGCAGAAAATGGAGGGTTTTCGAAATCTATATTAATTGCCTGGAGGGTACTTGTACCATGAATATATATATATATACTGGTTGGTGGTTGACCTACCCCTCTGAAAAATTATTAGTCAGTTGGGATGATTATTCCCAATGTATGGAAAAATTAAAAATGTTCCAAACCACCAACCAGTATATATATATATATCACAATGTATACAGATAGTTGAAGTTATCTAACCAATCCACCGACCTACTGTTTGAAAACTGGGATCTAATTCTATGCCTATATAAGCAACCAAAAAAAAAGATAGAACAATAAATTCCTACCAAAATACAAGTAATTTCTGCTCTTTCTTTTTGGTTAACTTTTTCCCAGATATATCCATCGCTATCTTTGCAGGGCAACATAAAAACCCATTTACATTCCCATCAAATCCCACAAAATCCCATTATTCCACCCATGTTGCAGCTTAAATGCAAGAACAAACCATATTTCTATATATTTCTTGCTTCTCCTCAACCGTTCCCCACATCAACAGATGCACCTCAGTGGCCATACGAAGATCAAAGCCAGTGTCAGCACAGCGGCTGCAGCCCAAGTTTCTGGGCCGAGCTCCACCTGCGCGCCAGGTGCAAGTGGTTACCCTCTGGTGACCTCAAACCTGTTGAAAAGATGGTAAGTTCATGGGATTTCATGGTGATTTTTATCATAAAAATCATGGTGAGTGTTCATGGGATTTACTTAACCGTAAGCGCAAAAATTAGGTTGTCACCCAAGGTCACGTTTGACTCTTTCCCAGTTGGATGGAAACACCTGTATCACGTGCATGGTTAGCCTCCAGCAGCCTCAGCGGCATGGCAAGTTGGTTCCCGTTCCCGGTTGGTAAATGGAGTCATCAGCAGCTGGGATTTTCATCTATACATCTACGTATATATCTGCAAAATTTACTTTAAATTCAAAACGGTTTCCTCGTCTTAAATCTACTTTTCCCCTCTGATTAAATCTTCAGTCCTCGCCTCGTTACATTCAAAACGGATTTCAGCCCTCGTCCCATTTCTTTCTCGACCGCAAGCCATTCGCACTAGTCCTCTGCCTCCTTTTGGGTTGAACTTTTTTGAATTATCTTTGTCGTCGTTGCAGCAACGCTCTGGGCTCCAGAGGCTTGGGGATGCTGAAAAAACTTTTCAGGGCCTAAAAAGTTTTTTCCTGTTTCCGAGATGCCTCTTTTACAAGGGTCTCGATTCCCCCCAAATTCGACCCCAAAGAAGAGAAGCTGCAGCAGCAGCACCAAGATACCCCGCTACACCTCAAGCTTTAGCAATTTTAGAATCTAGTCGCGCTACCTGGGAAAGGTGAATAAGAACTATTGACCAAAATTTCAGGGTTCCCTAGGGTTCTTATTTCAATTAGCTGGTAGACAGAGTTGAATCCAGCAATCCAGCCTTTGAGGTTCTTAATGCAGTGGGTTCTTAAACAGTGGTTTCACTGTAGAACAATTACGGAAGTCTTGGAACAACCGGGCATGCCACCACAGGGCACTGACTGAAATTACGATTAAAAAAACTTTTCGGGCTCCAGAAAGTTTTTTTTCACGGGGTCTGAATGCACCCTTAATTTTCTATTTTTTCACTCTGATGGGAACAAAAAAACTTTCTGGAGCCCGAAAAGTTTTTTTTCACTCGTTGCACATGCTTTGAAAGCAATTTCTGCCCACCTCGTTTTCTGAATTTAATTAATTCACTTCGCTTAAATTGCAAAGATTCACCTCGTACCTCGTCAGCCTTCGCTCTAAATTATGCAGATATATGGCAGTGTGTCAAAACCTTGTACCCCTGGTGAACATCAAAATAGCTGGTAAATGGATGTTCATCCCCCCAAAAATGGTATTAATAGGTATTGATCCATACCCATATAAATGGATATCTGGTTGGTGGTTGACCTACCCCCCTGAAAAATATGAAAGTCAGATTGGATCATCATTCCTACTATTGGGGAAAATAAAAAATGTTCCAAACCACCAACCAGATATAAATGGGAGATTGTCCTTTGCCATGTTTGATTACCAGAGGGTAATAGTCCCATAGTTAATTACCATAGCTATTACCCACATTTCAAAAACAAATTAAATGTAGACAACCGTAGTTAATATGATAAATCCATAGCCATAGTACCCTCTGGTAAACTAACATAACTCTGGAAAATCTCTATTTTTAATGGGCAAATCAACTATTTCTATGGCCATTTTCAATAGCAAGCTGTTAGTTTACCAGAGGGTAAATATGTCAAGTCAGTTGAATCAGCATCAAAGTCTTCAAATGTGCCACCAGGCATGTTATCCATAGCCATAGTAAGTGGCGTGATAATCCATAACCATGGAAAATGACCCGGCATCTGACAGAAAACATTCGGCTCGACAAAAACAGCTGACGACTCGTTTCCTTTTTTGTGCCATGGCCAAGTTACTTGGGTAAATGTGTGGTATGGTCATCTATCGCCCCTACAATGCATATATATATATATTACATATTATATGTATATATATATATACATAAATCCCTATGAATGGATTGATGACCATCCCTTGTTATGGGAGAGTAATGTTTTGACCATGGCACCAGTGGTTGACAACCATAGCAAGTGGATTAACAGCCATAGTCAATTCACCAAGTAGTTTATCACTCAATTAATGGTGATATATTCATAACCCCCTTGTCACCCATCAAAAACATGCTTGATAACCATAGTACAGTAATATCACAATAATGATCATAGTTAGGTAGTTCACCAAGTGGGTAGATTATCATCATTCAATTAATGGTCATATATTAGTAACCCACTTGTCACCCATCCGTCCCATTTATAGATGGGACAACACTTGAGGTGATTGGATGTTCTACCACCATAAGTTGGGAGTAGTTGGGATATGGGGCCCCTATAACTCTGGTGAAAGATATCCACTCGTCGCTAGAACCGCACCACCAGGTATCAACCGTTTTATCCAGATACACTAGGATCACTAGGGATATCAGTATGTAGCCATCAAAAAGAAGAACGTATCTCCGATATCCCCCATAAAATGTCAGTTTGGGTAACCGGTGCAACCGGAGCCGGTGTCAGTCGGGTGACTACACTAGGGAACATCAGCTTGGGATAGGTTCGCACCCAAGCTGGGTAGTCAGAAAACCAACGAAACCAGGATCATTTTTTCATGGTCAATGGTATGCTTCGAACATTTCTTCAGAATCTATGATGATCTATGTAATAACAATAACAGCACAGCATTAGATTTTGTAGATTGTTTATGTATTATATATATATATCATATTTATCATATTATATCATATAGATTTTGTATAATTATATCATATTTATCTATCAAAGCCGAGAAAACTCATCTGGCCTTGCCTTGCCCATCGCCATAGGGCCATGGGACCCATGGGACCCATGGGATGGCTGGGATGGCTGGGATGGCACGTGGCGCATGGCGATTGGTCAGAATGATTTATGGATAGAAACTTCGTTTCTGTGCTATGTGGTCATTAATAAATACCATCTCTGGTAACCAACAAATAATTGCTTTTATGTATGGATATGTATGGATATGTTATATATATTTATTTACCAATATTAGTGGTAACCAAGAAATAAAACTTGTCTACACTTATTAGATGTAATTATGACTAGTGATCACTGCCACAATATCCACAATGCGTCAATTCCTCACTGAAACGATGTAGTGTCTTGCTGTAGCTTTCTAAAATAGCCACAAAAATGCTGAACAAATCTAGTTTGAGATACTATCAAAAAGGGATGCTCAAGAAATTCTAGGCAAATGCGGTATATACCCTCTGGCAAACTAACATAACTATGGAAAATCAGAATGTTTTATGGGAAAGTCCACTATAAATGGATATGTTCAATAGCAAACTGTTAGTTTACCAGAGGGTAATTGACAAACATACCCAACATTTTGCGTCAGAATTGTCGACCCTACAAATTCCCGGCATCAACGAAGTTCCACGGTGACATACACCGGTCCATCGACCGTCGAGCCGTTTTTGATGTCGTCAGTTTTCATTGAATGGAGAAGTACGGCACACACGTGCTTGCAACTAACTAATATTATGATATTACAATTTTATGCACGTATATATATATATATATCGTATATTGTAAGTATTGGATATTAAAGGATACTATATATATATCTTTCAAACATTCAACAATGGATACGCGTCTATTCAGCCGCATAGTCGCCAAATCAGTAGCGTCCAGGCCTCTTATCATCCCTTTCAGCCAGTCGGCCCAACCAGCGCGGCACTTTTTCAGAAAACGACGCTCAATGAAAGAGGCTCATCACCTGAAAAGTTGACACGGACCCGGCAGCTATTCGGCGATGAATCCAGTTATCACGTATACACCACTGAGAATTCGAGAATGACAATGCAACATCCATTATCTATATGGATTACTCTGGATTAATGTGGTAAATCCGATGATAAAACATTTGGCATGATGTAAAATGACCCTGGATAGTTTATTACTGGGTTTACCACATTGCCGATATTTCCACTTTTGTTCGCTTTTGTATTGCCAAAAAAAAATGCATTTCAACGTGGGCTCTCAAAGAATGGCTCGACTATGGCGCAGCCAGATTCCCGTGCACTTGCCCAAGTGCCTTTTGTAACACGCGCCACCATTCAAATCATTGCAGGTTGGTTGTTTCAACTCATCAGAAAATTCTGATTTTGTCAACGACCCTCCAAGGCCGATAATAAAACAATACGTGTAACGTCGTTTTTACCATATGTTACCCACTCTTTTTGCATGGGTACCTGAAAGGTCTAGGAAATGGCATATTCTTCCGGAATACACGCTACAAACAACATCTGAAACCACTTTGAAACCACCAGGGGAGATCAGGTCTACAACTTTGTGAGCAGATCTTGAACCGCGGAGCTGTCACCGCCAAGGCTTGGTTCCCCCCATGTGACAAGTGATTTGTCCTCGAGGAGTGCAGCAAATGCGCCCAGTTTGGCAGCTGCTATCTGTTGCACGTTCTGAAGCTGACCTTGGACCGCACTGCTGTCCCCACCACCAGTTGAACGGCCCCAGGTCACAACTGAACCATCGGCCAGGACTGCGGCAAAGGCAAAATGTGTGCCTCGCAACTGCTGCACTTTCTGAAGCTGACTTTGGACCTCAGAGCTGTCGCCACCACAGTCTGCAAGGCCCCAGGTCACCACGGATCCATCTGCCAAGAGGGCCGCGAAGGCCATTTCCGTGCCTTGAATCTGCTGGACACTGCGAAGCTGGTCTCGGACTGTCGAACTGTCACCGCCAAGGTCTGCACGGCCCCAAGTCACCACTGATCCATCTGCTAAGATGGCAGCAAACGCCCCACCAGTAGCACTGACCTGCTCCACATTCCTTAGTTGAGCTTGGACTTGAGAGCTGTCACCACCCAAATCTGGATCACCCCAGGTAACAACCGATGCATCTGCTCGAATGGCAGCGAATGCACCGTCACTGGCCTCGATATGCCGGACACTCCTTAGCTGATCTTGGACTGCACTGCTGTCCCCGCCATTTGGAGGATCACCCCAAGTGGTAACCGACCCGTCGGATCGAATCGCAGCAAATGCGGCTTCCGTCCCATGCACCTGCTGTACGCTGCGGAGCTGATCTTGGACGGCGGAGCTGTCAGCACCATAGTCCGGCTCCCCCCAGGAAACCACTGATCCATCTGCCAGGACTGCAGCAAATGCGGCAGCTGAGCCACAAATCTGATGCACATCCTTCAGCTGGTCCCGGACTGCTGAGCTGTCACCGCCCCAACCTGCACCACCCCACGTCACCACTGATCCATCACCCAAAATTGCTGCGAACGCGCCAAAATTGCCTTGTACCTGCTGCAAATTTTTCAGACGACTTTGGACTTCAGAGCTGACGGCCCCAAATTCTGGATCTCCCCATGTTAGAATCCCGTCACCTGCCTGACACCAAAGGGCAAATGCTCTTCCAGTTGCTGATAGCTTTGCTTCCAGTGAAATTGCTGTCAGGTGGATCTTTCCATCGTGAAGCCCTGCTACGGATTCCTCAGCATCAACAAAACGGCCCTCAGAAGTAATAAGCCTGAGGAATTTGTGTCCAAGTGTTTTCTGGGCCAAAATCTTCAAGTCCTCGACTTTGGAGGACTCTGAAACCAATAGGTCTTCACTGCGACCGCTTGGCAAAGCAACATTGACTTGAAGCATTGAAATTACAGGACTGTGTCTGAAATTGTGGTATAATTGACCCAATTTGTGGACATCAAACAATTGTTAATATGAGGTTTAAATCATGACATTTTGAAGTTGTCCACCATTTCCAGACAAACCCATACCTGGACCTTCCAAGTACCTACAAATATTGCTAGAAGTAGAAGTATCAACACGAGAGGTCTATCGAGGGTCTAGGTCTAGCCAAAGTCAGCTTCAGACTTTCTCCAGCTGTGTCGTGTTGTCCCTTGAACCAGTTCTGGCACTTCTGGGGTTTCGTGTTGTCCCGGAATGTTGGACCATTGGACCATCCAAAAAACGCTGCCCCGGATGATCTGATGACAAAACTAAGAGCTATACTGCTTGTGAACCAGTTCTGAGGATCGCAATCCCAGTAAATATTGGCGGAAAATTGGAGTGGCCCAAGGGATTGCATGATTTTCACCATTTTTGAATGGCCCAGACCTATAGACTGGAAAAGACCGGGAAAATTTTCTGTTCATGTTTTTCCATTCCCTGGAGATCCTTCAGACCTTCTCATGGGTCGAAAGTGCGAAAAAAATCCAAGATTGATCGTACTTGTTTCACCAAAATGACCATAAATTGAGGATAAACTCCCGTGTTTTCAGGACCACATGTATGTATACACATGTAAAGAGACTGTTGGTGATGCGTATGATACTGTATATACAGTAGATATATTCTATATATACATATATATATATACAGATAAATAGCTTCCATCACCACATTCATATCCATTACATATATATATATCCAGCAGAACAATTTATGCATTTGATTCTATACCCCTAGTTCTGTAGCTTTCCTATCCCCCATTGGACTAGGCCTGCTCGTAAGTGCAGAAGATCAAGGCTGATCCAGGTCCCAGTCGGGCCACCTGCGCAATCATTTGATTGGGATTCACTAACAGGGGGGTTGAACACTGCTCATTTAAGCACTTAGGGGATTACTGCAAATGGATAATTAATGCAAGTGATTCATAATCCATCTGTAACTGGGATGATTAAGACATCGGATTTTTCGGACAGGAGGGAAGGTGCAGAGGGGATCATGGCCATGGTGAATAAAGATCCCTTAAGAAATATAGTTCAGTTAATATCTCCCCACTCGCAGCCAAAGGTTCAGGTAACAAGCTACTCAACCGTGGTGAATAAACCCAGGAATATGATGTAGCCGTAGCCCCAAAAAAAATAGAAAGAAGCAGTAAATTTACGAATCACCGTATGGTACAGCATTGGTCATTGGGGTACCCAAATTTCAAATGAATCATCCCCTAGGCCCCAATTCATCCACCCGTTGATCGCCATTTTCCCCATGAGAATTGCCATTTTGGGGGGGGGCGATTTCATACACACCCAAAAAAATTGCTGGCTCTATAGCTCTATCCCACTATACCCCTATAAAATCCAGTTCAATTCGATAAAAATCACCATGAATCCCAATAAAATCAGCATCAAACTCTCAAAAATCACCATCAGATCCATCTCTGCCTTGGCAATGTAGCCCTTGTAGAGCCCAGCCCACCTAGATTTCGAAGAAGTTCCAGACAAGTGAGACACCCCCCTTAATGGAATTTCAATGGGATGTTAATGGGATTAGTGGGATTATAGAATGAGATGGTATGGGATTATAGTATAATTAAAGATCTCACCCTCTGGCAATTTAACAGTTTATTGAAATTGGTCCATTTACTTCGACGATTTACCTATGAAAGATGGTCATGTTCTAGTTCGCTATGTGAAAAATTACCTCATTGGGTACGGGTTTTTTGAAGCTTTGATAAAAAAATACCAACAACCGCTAGGCTTTATCAACGATCAAAAAATAGAGGGGTCACCTTTGATAGGGCTTAATCCCCATGATCAATGGATTTTGTTTGATGTTTTACAAAAAAACAGGCTATAGGCTTCAGGATGGGGCCCCATAGTTGGCTAAGTTAGTTGGCAAGATTGTCAATAACCGCAGAACTTCGTAAAGAACTCTAATCAGCCTACTTGGATGTGTATCCCAGTTAGTAAGTGTGGTTCATAACCCGTATATATATATGATGAATGTATATATGTATAACTGGCGACATTCCACATATACCTTTAACTGATGTACAATATGCTTGTTACCCACTTACTAACTGTGATGCACCCCCAAGTATGTAACCGAAAACCAAGAAAGCCTTGAGGGTTCAAATGTGTTCAGGATCACCAACTGCACATTTCTGTACATGAACTTGCATGTCAACATTAGAGATTATTTGACTGTCAAAGGGGAGAGTCGCCATTGACGGGTGTGGTTACCAGAAAGTATTGTCCTGAAATTGACCAATCAACTGCTGGCCTTCAGAGCCCTTCTACAGTATTGTAAGTACTCCTGTTTGTATGTATAAACAAATGTATATAATACATTGATGCATGTGTATAGTGATACACACTCGTTTGAACAATATATGACATACACATAATATGCATATCTATAATATATATATTATATATTATATATATATATATTATATATATATTATATATTATATATATATATTATATATATATTATATATATGCATATATATATATGCATATCGATGTTTCTTTACAGGAACCATCATATGTAAAATATGTCCAACTGTCAGGCCTGGGCAACCCTGGGCAAGCCCACCCATCACGCCGGACCAGCTCCATGGCCACCGAAGCCACGGAAGTGGGGCCGCAGGCAAATTCCTGGATTTGCTGACAAACCAATGGGAACCAATGGCTTTTATGAGAAATCATGGGTATATACTGTAGTACTCTTTACACATACATATTGCATTTTACATACATACATATATATATATATATATATATATACGTATGTGTATATATATATATATGTATGTGTGTATATATTTATATGTGTATGTGTATATATATATATATTGCCCGAAGCCCCCTTGGAGTTCAGTGTGTAACCTGGGTACCACCATTTTATAGTGATAAAATGTTTTTTTTGGGGGGGGGGGGCCTTTATAAAATGGGGGTGCCCAGGTAATTAGGGGGGTCTGCGCTGTCTATAAAATGGGGGTACCCAGGTTACTCACTTAACTGTCTGATTGCTCCACCAGACCGAATCACGACACCCACTTGGTCAACTTCCAACAATAGCCAACGGGCCAACGCTTGGAACAAATGACTTTCGGTCTACAGCACAAAACCATATCTGTCAGCTCATTATGCTGTGCTTCGGTTGACCAGTCAAGGCTCCCTTCGCATGGTGCCCTTCAAGTGGTTGGACCTTCTGAAAAGGGGACCAACGAACAACCATTGTTGAGGACACTCCAGCACACCGATAATCATGCGCATGACGTCTCAGCCTGACTGGCAAGCAATGGCACATAACTGCCGTGATTTCCAGCACCCAAACATGCGCTCCACTGAACTACAGGGACATCTCCCTCATGGAGAGTGTGCCTCTACTGTGGCGGACCGTGACCGCGTCACCCGTGGGAATTGAACCCATGACCATTTTAGAGGGGGGGGGCCCTTATAACTGATATCTAATACATAACGTCGAGAATTCTACGTCGATAAAGACCAGGCCGATTCGAAGCACTTGAAAAAACTCTGCAGGCCGTGCCCCAAGGCTTTACGAAACCGGTGGATCTAGCAGCACTTATGGCGCTCCTACAATCACACCTGTCAAAACAATAGCAGCAAACAAAAGCAGGGGGACTTCTGGTCTCGTCTCATACCTCTCCGACTCAATTGCTTGACTGCATGACTCCATCTGAGATTTTCGGACAAGAAAAGTTTCTCTTGGCTGCAAGCGCAGAATCGCTTTATGCATTCTTTCTTCTGTTTTCAAACATCATCTGAACCCTGACCATGTCTGCACTTGCAACTGGGGGGCAAATGGGGTTCGATGGCATAAACTTGCACCTTGAACATCTTGCTACAGCTCTTATGGCGGAAATCACAGTGGCATGGCCCAGCACGACATCTCATGATCAGCAGTGCAGTCATATGCAGCACTTCAGAATCGTTGGAGAAAGTATGTTACTATTCGAATCCATCAGTTGGAGTGGCACATCTAACAGGCGGAAAGGTTTGCAGCAAACCCAGACCATTTGAAACATCAACGAAGACTTCTGAAAATGACCGCCCCCATCTCCACAACTTTTCACCGCTCCCTCTGCGTCGATGCCAAAATGACCCCGCCATAAAGACCTTAAGTATCAGCAAAATCACCTGCCAACTCCAAAAGAATATTATGCTTCAACTTGTGAACATGAGACACATGAGACCAAGGTCTTAAGCTTTTGTTAGTTTTGCTGCTGATCTGTTGGCTATTTCCCCCTTTTCCCTGCCATGACCATTCTCCCTGCAATGGCCACCGCGGTGAAGACCGGGGCCATTCGAAGGTCGGGAGGCTTCAGCGACTTGAAAAAACGCCCGGGTTTTGAAGGCCGCGCCTCAAGGCTTCACGAAATCTTTGGATTTGGCACTCGTGGCTCTGCTAGAACAACCCGGAACCACACGTTTCAAACAAAATCCTTAGGTGCTTTTTGAAAACTAGACCATCAACCAGGAGGCGATACGATCAATACTGTATTCTGATGTATTCTGCGCGTGTCTGCCGAATGCAAAGGGAAATGCTGGTCTGCCCAACAAGCGGGGATTCTTGTCTTGTCTCATATGGAGGGTTGGCCACACAGTGGTAGAAAGCTTGCATGATGTAGGCTTGCACATGAAGCCACGGAATGGCTTCACGAAACCGTTGGATTTGGCACTTGTGGCTCTCCTGCAACCACCCGTTTCAAACAAAATTCCCGGCTGCTTTTTCAAAACTACACCATCAACCACGAGGCGACATGATAAATACTGCATTCTGTGCGTGTCTGCCCGCTGCAAAGGGAAATTCCGGTCTCGTCTCATGCCTCTCCAAATCGACTGCATGATTCCATCTCAACTTTTGGACAACAAGTTTTTCTTGGCTGCAAGCGCAGAGTCGCTTTACGCATTCTTTCTAATTTGCCCGATGTTTATGATTATTTGAACAAAAACATACAAAAACTACCTTCCTGCGAACTTAAAATTGATACCTAAATATGATTAACCACTGGTTAACCTTATCCATGATCACTGGGACATTCTTTGAACATGATACCTATATAAACAAAATAGACAACTGGTTAGACATGTTCCAGGAACACACGGACATTATTTGAAACTAGTACCGAACTTATTACATATCATAGATATGCAATTAATTACATCTATTCGCTTAGGTGTTTGTTCTGTGCTTTTAAAGGCATAATTCGTTGTAACGTCCATCCACCTGAAACGATTTGAAAGGCTTCCGGATAAGTAGGTGAAGTCTACTTATATATATATATTATATTATATTATATTATATTATATGATATATATATATACTATATGATATATATATATATATTATATATATAATATATATATATAATATATATATTATGTTTATATATATATGGGCTTCTAACTCTTAGCATCTAACTTGGGTGAACCATCAAGGACCCTCCAGTATATAATCTATACAGATACATATACCCTCTGGTAATTTGACGTAGCTATTGAAAATGGCCCATTCGAAATAGTTGATGACTACCCATTTAAAATGGTGATTTTTGATAGTTATGTAAACGTTTACTAGAGGGTATAACTTTGCTGCAGCCATGGCCACGGCTACCCAGCACGGACCTGCCCAGCAGCATGGCTCGACAAGGCACTGGCAGCAACCACCTGCAAGGTCAAGCTGTCTGACTTGGGGACTTGCTCGGCCGCAAAAATCAAAGATCATCCCTGTAGCATCCCTGTAGAACCAGGTGACACTAACATCGGACTTGAGATTTTGGAATCGGGTTAGCAGTAGATTCCCCAGTCATATCCCCACTTGGACGAAAACCGCTGGGAAACTCACCCATCACCGCAACAAATCCAAGACGTTTCTGTGGCGTTTTTGCAGCGAAAAGTTGGATTTCACCCAAAATCAATGGAGACTTCAGCACCAAAAAATCGGACTTCACCCGGCACCAATGGAGACTCAAGCGACCAGTGGGGAGTTGCCCAACTGAAGAGTGTGGAACAAATACCCTCTGGTTATGTCAAAATAGCTATTGAAAATGGCCAGTTATAGCTGATTTACCCATTAAAAATGGTGATTTTCCATAGTTATGTTAGTTTACCAGAGGGTCACAAACACCAAGGGCAGTGACAAGAATGGAAATACAACCCGAGGTCTCAACACACGTACCAGTACAAAGAGCAGGCTCAATTGGCTCAACCAACAAAGCTGGTCACATCTTGCCAAGGGTTCCAGGGTTCGGATCGTCATCCGTGGTCTCATCTAGTGGCACCCCCGAAAAATCCAGCTATCCATTTCCCAAGAAAAACCCCCTGATGGGATGGTCGGATGGTCTGTCCATTCCTGATCTCCGGGTCATCTAGGGCCTAAGGGCTGACTGTTGGGAATCCCCACCGGACAGTGCCTGTCCTTTTGCACCCGGTGGGTTTTTTTCGCAAGTCGCATCATTTATTCCGAATGGTTGTGTGATCAATGCATGGGGGCACCGATCAAACAAAGATGAACCAAAGCAGTGGGAGACAGGAATGAGAGGAACGGCTGTGATCCACACAATTCCTCCCAAGGAGGTATAGGTACAGGTTATTATTTGTTATTATTTGATGGTTGGGTTCTCCCAACTTTGCAGTTCTGCTGATTCTGCTGGTTGGACCTCCATCTTTTCCTCGCGAAAGTCCCATGACTCTAGCAGCGAACATCCCTATCCCGAAAAACCAGCTCTTCTCCTCGTGTTGTTAAATTCAATTCTTGCAAGTTCCATACTTTTTCCCGCAAAATCCCCTGTCTTCCATAGTGAAAATCGGGAACATCCATGAAACTCTCCAAATTTCTTCAGCCCCGGTCCAAAAAAATGCGCCTGCTGCCGGGTTTTCACCACATCAAAGGGGTTGTTGGCTGTTGCCGCTGCACAGCCCGCAACAAAGCCCGAGAGCAGGTCCTACACCCCCCACAGCTGTGGGGAGAGCTGCAGGAAAGGGGGAGTTTAAGCGATGTTAAGAACAAAAAGGATAGACTTATTAGAGCTTAACTTAAGAAGTAAATTTAGATCGAAAATTCGGATTTTTGTATGTGTTTTTTGTTTTTTCAAAACATTTTTTATTGGCAACCTTTTCTTCTTTAGATGACTTTATATGGAGGACTGGAGATCACACTGGCGTAAAGAAAACCCCACCAGCTGTCCAGATGTGATTTTTTTCCCCCTGGCCATCAATCCTGGCTGCCATGGGAACTCTAAAAATATATCTATATTATATAATACACATCTAATATATATATATATATACACATCATTAAACATACATATATATATATAATATATATATATATCTATCTGTATATCCCTAGTCCAGTCATGATCCCTCAAAATCTGGTCAAGCCACAGCAGCACCGCTAGCAGGCTCTACAGGGCTCCAGCAAATCTGGGCCTCGCACCCAGCAAATCTGCTGAAATCGCGAAGTGCCCTGGTGCGTTGGGGTGGACCCGGCAAGCTTTTTGGAGCTTTCATGAGGGGTCTTCATAAAACAACCTTTATACAAATGGGGCCTAAACAATGATTTCGTGGTCTAATTTGAAAAGAACTTGGGAGTTTTGATATATGTCTTACCACATGAAAGCTGTTGAGGCTTCAACAATAGCATCACCATGAGAGCCCTTAACGTTTCTGTCAAGCTCGCCTGTTGCCTTTGCATGGCAACTGAAGAACGACTTAGTTTTCACTATAGCACCTCATGCGAGGCAAATCTTTAAACATCGCCGATTGACATCAATCGTTTTTTGGGATATCTTGGGCTGTTCAACTAGAAATCTTGGGCTCAAGATATCCCAATTGTAGTTGAACAAGGTCAATATAGATGTTATCCCAATTATTAGGTCAATATAGATACTACAATTAGGCCCTAATTATCCCAATTGTTATGTAACTCTCATCCACTAAGATAGAGATTAATGCATCAACACCAAACCGTCAGCCCGACCCCACACCTTCGGGGCAAACTTCTTGGTTTCGTGGAAGGCTGCAAAGTAAAAGCCTTAGTCATGAGGATCGCTACATTTCCTGTGGGTACAGCCAACTAGGCAACCGTATCTATCATGTGCTTAGGAAACGAAATTCGTTCCAACTAGCTCCCTGTTTCACAGGGAATATGGATACCCATAGCGTTTGGGCTCCCTCATAACCACTGTATCGATATAGTATAAACAATGTATTCACCATCTGGCTGTGTCTCAAAAACTGTTATGGATCGCTCCGCGGTGATCCATAGCTATGGATCGGTCTGGCGTTTTGGTGCGTTTTGGAAAGCATCGGGTGTATGGATCGCCTGTGGGTTTTAAGCCCTGGTATGTACCTTTATTTTGAGAGCCAGTGAAAACTTAAAATGGCAATTGCAATCCCTTTTCCTGCTCACAGCAAGCTGAAAAAAACAAATTATGGAAAGGTACATCATAGTCATAGTTCAAAATGCAAATCATTTTTTCCAATGTGGTTACAACTTAGGTAGATCATCATAAATCATCTACAAATTCCATTGCCATGATTGTTTACACTCGGGTAACATAAAAATGGAAGACAGCTCTCCTGTTGCTATTGAGATTGGGAGTTTAAACATAGAGATGGAGATACTGAGATGTTGTAATACTATTACGTATATAATATATTATATCTGACCCATTTAAGCTATTTCTTGGGTCGTACCTTATTTTCAAAAATTTAAAATGAAATTAAGTGAGGTCGTCTGAAAAACAAAAACAATTTGTATATATATATATGATACATGTATCCATTATATATTCCATATATACATAGATGGTGCATATATATATATATAATTATATATATCATAACTATCATATACATTTCATGTATATATATATATATATGTATATGTATATAATGTATATCATATATCTGATATAATGCTTCCACATGCTTCCACCATCTCTGGGCCCGGCAGGAGTGAGCCGTGTGCTTGGCCACGGTGGCGCCCAAACCGGCGTACCTTCCGCCCGCGCGATGGCTCTTTCAAAAGGCCACCCTGGAGGCCCTGGAGCCAGTTGAACAGATGCAATGGCCATGTTAAGTCATCTTAGCTTTGTCTAGAATTGGGATATCTGACGATATCTACATATATTATATATCATATATTATATATTATATATGATATATTATATTTTATATGTTATTATTATATCTGATGATATCTGATGATATCTACAATCTCCCCAAATCCAATGGTTCATCATTTTCCCCAGAGCTTTTTTCTTGGGGCTTTCAATTCACCATTTTCAAACAACCCTGTGTAGATATCATCAGATATATTTTATCATACCCTATGAATCCAAGTACCTTCTTAGGAAGTGTTTGGGGTATGATTTGGAGGGTTAAGTACCTTCCCAGACAGGGTTTGGATCCATAGGGATATATAATAATGGAATATCTGATGGTGTAGAGTCTTATGCACAATGTTTTAAGATTATCCTTGTTGTGATGTCTTGCAAACCGAACACAGAAGGGGAAAAACAGGGGCGGGCTGCAAATGGCTACGCACAACAAATCTCTTCTTTGCCCGTAAGTACTCATGAGTATCAGTTCACCTATTGATGTCCTCGGCATTTCTATTGGTGCTTAAGGCTGCCAAGGGATGTTGCCGCTATAGCGAAACAGCAGCAGTACATCAGCAGCGAGATAATCATGTCTACCCCTACTTGAGTTGGTTGAACCAACCCAGAATATGATTGAACCGATCGTCAGTTGGGATCATCCGCCCAAATAGGATTGAAAACAACATTTTTGAAACCACCAACTAGTGAATCTGAAAAATCATTGAGAACATACAAGCATCTACCTAGACACTCCAAGTACCCATTGAAAAATGAAACAAATGGCTTTTTGCTCCAAAACTTAGTTCTCTTACCCAAGTTTGATCTGTGGTACAAAAGCAGCCATCCATCTTGATCCATCTAAAGCAACTCTTCCCGTTGGCGCACAACGAGCCCACACCGCCACTTCTGACCATGGCCTCAGTGTCGTGAACGAGATATGGATGCTTTCGGTCATTTGGTTGTTTGGAAAATGGAATCTGGATCTGGAAAATGTACATTGGAGGATTCTCATCTGTCAGCTCCATATGTTTTTAGGTTTCTTTTTAGCGCGACCACCATATTTAGTTGGCAGTGTCACCCAGTCAAGAAAAAATGTTGGTCAAATAATTCCATAATCATCGCGCTTGTTAGATGGACATCGGGTTTTTGTGGGGTCAGTGGGTTGGTTTGTTGGGAAGACTTCAAGGCAACCAAGTGCAAGCAAGTTCCAAATTCCTGACCGTTTCTTTTCTAGCAGCCTTCACTCCTTTCACTCCATGGGGTTGCCTGTTTTTTTACGGTCAGAATCACCGTGGTTATCCGGGCGTGGCTTGGCAAAAAGAACATCAACAAGCGGCATTTTGCTTGGGGAAATACCCCAGTGAAACCACCATTTCCACCCGGTGAAATCCACCAGGAATCTGGTGAGCCGGGCAGCCGGACTCGGGCAAAACTGGCCATCCCCGTGGCTGAAGAGCCAGCTGCCTTTGCGCGTGCGTTCCAAGCATCCAAAGTTTTTGGTGATTTTAATGGGGAAGTCATTGGGATTTCACGGACGTTACCATCAAAAATTCTGATGTCATAGGATTTTAATGGGGATTTAAGGAGATTTGATCACGAACACTTTGGCTTACCTTCTGGTCATCAAATATGGTTTGCTAGAAATCCCCATTTAGCTCGCTGATTTTACAATTTAAATGCCCATTTAGTTCGAGGATTCTCTAGCGAGCCATGTTTGATCTCCAGAGGGTACCATCTCCCCAACTGGCGTAGACCCTGAGAATCACCAATCTTTCTGCGAAAGTAGTCTTCCAACACACATTTCGCAGGGTCTGTTAGTTGGGTGAAGGCTAGTTTCAGATCAAACCCCTAAGCAAGGCCAATCATCCGTCATGTTCTGGTGTTTCAACGAGTTTCAATGAGTTTCAATGAGTTTCAATGATTGTCAATGAGTTTCAATGAGTTTCAACGAGTTTCAATGAGTTTCAATGAGTTTCAATGGAACATGATGTAAACATTAATTACATGAAACTCTGCTCGGTATCGCAATCAACTGAAAATTTGGAAATCCACTATTTAAAAATTATGTGTATATATATATTGAAATTATATATACACATCTATATACCAGATCCGCAAAAATATGTCTGGGCGCCCTCCATTTCCATTACGACCAAGGGGGCGACCTTCTCACTTTGCATCCCAATCTTCAGACATTCCAAGGGCGTGATGATGCAGGCCTAGCAACTGCCGATGATGGGAACATCCAGAGGATACTTTTTTTTCGTGAAGATCTATAGAATCTATGTCAAATACAAAAAAAGGGCTTTGCTGGGACTTGAAAATGGACATCATCGCATGTCCCGACATATACAATCATATGTATATTATATATATACTTCAGAAGCAACAAAACTCCAAATTTCACCAGTACTGGGGATTGGTGAGCTGCAAACCACAGATTAGTGGAGTGAACTCGAAATCCCGACTCGTGATGGGTGGACTGCAGAGTTGAGGCGGCGTCCGGCAAGGGAAAATGAACGCCCAACAAACAAATTTAAGTGCCCCAAGCCCCAAAACTTATACTGAGCAACTGACCATGATGACCATGATTTCACATGAATTCGCCGACCATGAATTCCGAATGAAATATAAGTTTTTTTTTCAACAAGCACATGGCTATGGGTCAAACTCGCTACCCAAAAACGGGTTGATGTACCCTACGGTAAACACCATTTCAAGACGATTTTCCTGGGGAAAGCCCATCTTAAAAGCTACGACAAATGACCTGAGATCCTGGGAATCAAAAGTAAAATCCCCCAATCAACTGTTTCAAAACGATAAAAAACAGGCCACACATATATATATATACACACACACATACATGTTTAGTTAATTCATGTGAATTCTATTTAATTCTATTTCGAACTATGTAGATATATTAAATCACTAGAAATTTAGTGAGATATATAGATATATTCTGGTTGGTGGTATACCTACCCTCTGAAAAATGATGGACTTCGTCAGTTGGGATGATGATTCCATTCCCAATATGATGGGAAAGTCATAAAAAAGCCATGTTCCAAACCACCAACCAGATATTTAGTTAGGTAGATATATCTGGGTAAATTATAATAATTCACCAACCTGAAATAAGACCATTTGGGGATAGTTACCCTTAAAAAAACCATGATTCCCAGGGGTCGCGACGTGAGGTCGTGATGAAATTTACCCAGCTATTGACGATCATCCCTGGCTGCCTCAGAGGCTCCAGCCAGACCACCGGCCACCAAGCTGTGCTGAAAGGGGGCCTTCTCAAAATGGTCGTCACAGGACCAACTCCAGAAATCCCATGGATTTCCATTGGGGGAGAGATGATGGGAACTCCCATGGAAATACATGGGAAATATATGGGAAATCCCAGATCTATAGATCTACTGTAGTGTTTTTTGTTGTGATTTCTATGCGGAGATGTTCTTATTAATGTTGGATTCATTCTTTTTTACGTAAAGTCCTGACATGAAGTCGAAGAATTCCCGGACGGACATAGGAAAATCGTTTCATGAGTGATCTTCCAGAAAGAACTCATGAAAATGATCCAAATGATCCATGGAATGAGGGAAATCCAGGATTTTTATCATGATAAATCAGGAAAGCCTAGGAGAATGCAAAAAAAAAAGGATGTCTCTTCTGGTTGCATCCCCGTATTTACAGGTTGTGTAATGAGAAATTCGGAGTGCTATCTGGTAGGATGCGATTCAGGCTTACTTTTTAGATACGGACTCCAACAAGTGACCATGGTAAAAAGAGCCAGGCGTATAAGAAATGAAAGCTACGAATATGGAGGTTGAACAACATCAAATTCTATCAACAAACATCAAAATGGACGCAAGAAAAGAAACTAAAAATATGGTAAAACTACACAACTGAAAGAAAACAAGATAATCTGAAAACATGAAAGAAAAAAGAGTGAAGATTCCCGGAAGACAAGGACATTTCCTCAAAGGGATGGTGTTGACACAAGCTCCATGGTTTTCGGGTTTTCGATAAAGATCATAGGGCTCTCCCAGGTTCTCCCACGTCTTTAATTGAAAAAACATCCATTGGGATGTGGGCGCATGATTCATGATCCTCAGGTAATTCAACATAGCTATATGATTGTGGAAAATGGCCCATGTATAGATGATTTACCTATTCGAAACGGTGATGTTCCATAGTTGTGTTGAACTACCAAAGGGTAACATCTCTCAGAAAACGTCAGAATACCACCTATCCATAGAATCTCACAGTGCAACTGGCCGAAGGTACGAAGGTGGGCCTTCTGCTTCTCCCCTTTCCAAAGCAATTTGATGAAAGCATCATAAAAGACCTCCGGCTGAAGACCCCAGGATTACACCCTGGAAGTGCCGATTTTTAGCCACAGATTTTTGGTGAAGGAGAAAATCATTCAGGAAGATGGGGAAACTACAAAATTAGGGGAGATACTCATACTTGGAGCTCTTATCATCAAGCATCAAAATTTTGCTTTGGGTAGAGACATATTTTCGCACCTTAAGAATTGGATGGTTTGATTTCAATTACCCTTGGCTTATTTAACAGATCTATGGGACATGGCCCATTTATAGATGATGATTCTGATGTACTGATTTACCTATTGTGATGTACACCGTTCATAGATTTACCTATCAAAAAAGGTGGATTTCCATACGCTCTCACAACAAGTGACATCCGCGGCTGAATTCGGTGTCCATACGCACCCTGTCAAGGACCCCGAGTTGGAATCTGGAAGACCAAAGGTTTCCCCAAAATCACCCAGAAGTGGTTGATTTTCATTGATTTTCCACATCGAACTGTTGGTTTATCGGTAGACCCTCGAATTATGGCCATCTGGGAGTTTCCATAGTCACAGGGAAAGCCCAAAATTGATGGATGGTTTATTTTCATGGAAATTGCATCTATCTGGGTAAATTATAATATTTCCCTAACCTGAATTAAGGCCATTTGGGGATGATTCCCCTTACTAACCATGATTTCCAGGGTTCGGTCGTAGTGAGGTCGTTATAATTTACCCAGATCTATAAATGAATGATTTCGGGGTACCCGCATTTTAGGAAACCTCCAATGAAGTGGAAGTGCACCTCCAAGTGGCCCCGACACAGAGGAATTTTCCGGCTGGGGGCCAAACAAACTTGAAGCCCCTCCGAGGAATCACCTCAGGAATAAACAGAACCGGGAATTGGAAGCGAATGGGAAAAGTTAAACGGAGTTGCTTCACTTGGTTTGTCCTTAAAATCATGATATATAGATATATAATTCATTGTAGACATATATATATATTATGTATATCCAAATATACATGTTATACATTATTGCATATGCATGTATATATATAACTGTATATGTATAATTTCTCGTTGGATCGATATATGAGATACTCATGACCATCAAAAAAATGATGATGTAATGGGATTTGAATAGGGAAAATAAATGGGATTTATATCTCATATTTTATCACAAGCACTTTGGGTTCTCTTCTGGCAATCAAACATGGTTTCAATGGGAATTTCAGGGTCCTAAAATGGAGGTACTGTACCATATAAGGCCATATTTTGTGGGGATATCCCCTTACATAGGCCTTACATAGGCCTTACATAGGCCTTATATATGATAGGTACCTCCAATTTAGGTTCCTGAAATGGCCATTGATGGTTTGCTGGAAAATCCCCGCAAGTAAAAGTGATGTTCCCCAGTAAAAGCTCCGGGTAGTTCGATGATTTTCCCAGTCAAAAAGCCCAGCCATGGGATCGTGGATGTCCCATGTTTGAGGACACATGAGTCTCGGGTAAGTTGTATGGCAGGCCAAAAAAAACTAGATCTTACTACTGGATGCCTATCTGAAATGGCTTAACTGACACCAACATCCGCATTTTCCATGTTTACTTCACATATCCTGAGGTGAATATCTACGATTCCAGCAATGGGCATCCCTGAAGCACACTTGCACAGCTACAACTTTGAGTAAGCCAACCTGGCAATACAAAATCACCACATGTAAAAGGCAATTCACCTGCCAACCACTCATTTTTCGACTGCCATGTTGGACAACGGGTGGGAGGGTATTTCATCCATCACACCCATTCTTGTTGGAGTTGCGTTCCCTTTTCATGCCTGGCTAAACCTTTTTTTGAACACCCCCATGTTGCTTTTGCTAGGTTCCATGTTTGCTGATTAAGAACCACTTGAACACCCATGTTGGTAAACACTGTAAACACCCATATTTTTCTTGGCAACCCCCACGTTTGTGGGTCAACAACCACCGTCACTTGGGTAACAAATATGTTTGTTACTTAAACCCCCGTGCGTTGTTGGTTGGTTAACAATTCTTGCTGTTGGTAAGCCCACCATGTTTTTGTTGCTTACCCACCGGGAATCAAACATGGCGAAAGTCCTCCAATTCATCAATGATTTTCCAAAAAGTCAGCCGTTTTTTTGGGAAATCCCAGCCGTTTGTTTGATTATGCCACAATTCTGGGTTGTAGTTCCATTATAACTATAGCTATTGAAAATGGCCATAGAAATAGTGGATTTTCCCATTTAAAATGGTGATTTTCCATAGTTATGTTAGTTTACCAGAGGGTATCCACCTAAAATCCAGATCCCAGAAATTGAAAATTTTCCCAGCCAACCGTAGTTATGATTGCTGAAGGGTACTTGGACATGCGAGTTCCGCGAATCGGATCCGTGGTTTTTAATTTATAATCCACATAAGCCATATTTCATCCCATATATAAGTGGGGATATTCCATTTTTTTTCCATATATCATTGGGGGTATATCAGTATAACCCATATATATAATATATATTATTATATAACTTATATAACCCATATATATATATATATTGCAAGTATATATAACCCATATACGAAGTGGGATGCACCGCACTGGTCTCTGTGTTCCTCTGTAGCTGCGCTGAGCTCCATGAGCTCCACACCACACAGAGTCCAGGCACGAAGCCGCGCCAAAGACCTGCCATGCCTCGGCAACGACAGAAGCTGAAACGAAGAGGTCGGAGAACGGCTTCATGGATGCTACCCCTGTTGGAGAACACATATATAATATATATAATATATATATGTATGTATTGGCATTTAAATATATATAAGTTAGAAATAGATAGATAGATAGATAGATAGATAGATATTGCAGGATATGTAGGTATATTATCTTGGAAAACTATGACATTTCACTGACCTAGAAACAATGGTTTTCTTTGGAATATCTCCCCAGATATGTTTTTTTCATCCTGGAGTAGATAGAATATGGGATTTTCAAACATATCCTCATCTTAGTATGGATTCTTTGAATTTTCCATATACTCCAGGATGACTATGTATACATATACACGCACATATGAATAAAATATTGTAAATACAAATATATAGTATTCATATACAGTGCACATTCGTTTTTCATTGTTTTTCTATATATTTCTCAACTGAGGAACGGTCTGAGCCACAGAATATACACAAATACAATGTGAATACTAAATCAAAATGTTGCATACCTGCAACATCCTGCAAATGTCTGTAAACTCAAAGGTGTCTGTCAAAAGTAATTTTGTTGGCTCTATCTCATCGAACCCACTTTCAAACCGTAGTACATCCCAGTAAGACACCATAAAATCCCATCAAACCCACCATAGAATCACCATAAAACCTCATAAACCCACCATAAAATCACCATAAAACACCCTAAAATACCATGTGTGTTCTCCCTATCCACATAACATCCATAAAACCCCAGTGGTGAGACGCCGCACCTTCAGCCTGACGGATGCCGCGCATTGCTGCAAGCGTGCCCTGAAGCCATCAGTTTTTCAGTTGAAAAGGAAGTACTCTACCTAGCGATGGGATGGAGATATCAAGTTAAGTCAACTGACTAGATATATTATATATATTATATAAATTGCACTAATTATCATATCATGTTAAATCATTCTAATATATCAACCATAGTTATATACTGGTTGGTGGTTGACCTACCCCTCTGAAAGATATGAAAGTCAGTTGGGATGATTATTCCCAATGTATGGAAAAATAAAAAATGTTCCAAACCACCAATCAGTAATCCATCTTTTTCTTCAACAACGCAGCCACCTCCAAGCTAAGAAACTGGGCCAAGACAGCGTAGGCGAAAGCCATTGAATTTGAATGCATTTTTTTAGCAGCAAATTTGGAGGCACACCCCATCAAGAAAGCGAAGATATGATCCGGAAATTGGAAGGAACGAGAAATGTGCAAGGATGCTACATGGCAAAAACCAAAACTCAGCAAATGTGTAGACTGAGATCATCATAAGGTCGAAAAGTCGGAAATAGATCACGGGAAACTGAAACCAGAAAAACCAGAATCAACCAGATTCTGGAATGATTTACTAGTCAAATACTCTTCCCATTGTTGTGGGTAGTAGCAACAAAATCCCGTTCCCAACAAATCAGGATGAAGAATGATGAAGATGTATTCTCTAAGGATCTCCTGAATATCCAGGGCGAAAAGAGACAATCATTTCACATCTATGGCTCATGTCGCCCTGTAACCCTGAAAAGAATAGTCGGAACTTGGGATGTTTGCCACCCCAGTTTCGGAGATCATAGGATTGGAATGGTTTGGACATACCCATCACTGGCTCATCACATGGTTTTTATAACCACCCAACTGCCACGGCAAATCCGAACCGAAATCCCAACATCCGCAACCGGCTCCTGGAAATTATCTCCGCTCTTGATGCCATCCCCCTCAAGGGGTTTCAGCGGAGGAAAATGGGATGATCTGCGAATAGAAAGGTACATCATGGTACATCCCATTTTAGATGCAGATGGGATGACCATTTTAATGACCATTAAGACCATTGGGATGATTTCTTTTTCGGCCCAATGATCTTAAAATCACTTGACTTATTAAGCATACAGAAGTTCAAATCTCAAGTTTTCGGGAGAGAAAAATCATCCGAAATAAGCCAACATGTGTGGTTTTCTTCATTTGAAGATGTTCTTTTTGAGAACGAAATCATTCAGAGCTCGCCACGGGCGTTGCCGAGCCTCGAACTAATGCTTCCGAACCTCGAAAATCTTTGCCATGCAGTGCATGAAAGAAATCCTGCACCAGTTGATAGGTGGGCAAAATCCCATTATTTATGGGGATTCAACATGTTTTAACCATCCAAGATGGTGCAGGATTTCTTCCACCCACCGTATGTGCTCTAAGTCCCAAATGTTGAAGGTTGAGTCCCAAGGTTTTCCCAACACCCACCTGCAAGTGCATTCGTGTCTTCACCACATCTAAGGGCTGCATCACCATCAACTGCGGCAGTTTGACAAAACTCCTGGGAAATATGGATTGGATGATATATAAATATAAATGAACTTATAAATATAATATGTATAATCTATTATTGTTAGTGCTATTATTATCATTTGTATATAGTGGAAAATGGCGATATCTAAATAGTTTTTTGGATCGTTTATTTTGTGTTGGATCACTCAACTGCCAATATGATCTAAACATTAATCAGGAGTTATCAGATTGGATCTATATACTGTGTATATATGTAATATGATATGATATGATTATATATGATTCACATTTCTTCTACATATATTTCAAAGATATTATCACTGTAAAAAAATGGGGATATCATATTGGATCATCTTCCAACAGAATCGGAGAATGTAAAAACATGTAACTTTCCCATCATGGATTGCCATAATCCCCAACGTATTGCACCTATCCCCCGAACTAATCATCAACCGGCGTGCTATGAACACTCCAAAGTAAGCGGATTTCTTCAATGGAAACTCTCCGGACAATCTCTGGACATCAGGATTCAGTATGATTTAGTTTCGTATACCCTCTGGTATAAAAACGTTTATATACATAGGGAAAATGTACCATGTTATATGGGTAAACCAACAAATCACCCATTTTCCATGGCTTTTTCTTCGGTTACCAGGCCGGGTAACCTCTGGAATTCACAAGAACTCAGCCATCATTCGGTGACTCTGCTCCGCAACACCTCTGCTGTGGCCGCCACACCAGCCGCCACAAAGCTGGCATACGCTGGGGGCCTTGGCTTGGAAGTCTTGGGGGAGTCCAGTGAACAAAACAATATCCGCACGTTCTATGTAGGTAGGTTCATAGGTGTTTGAATGGGAAATTCATCTATCAATGGTGGATTTTCCTTTGCCACATGTGATTGCGATTAGATGACCGGAGGGTAACATCTGGGTGGCCTTTCCTTTCATCTTTTTCTTCCACCCCCTGATCCAAAGCACATGTTTTAAGATGTACCCTTCACAAAATTGGCAGCTGGAAGCTGATTTTTTGCCAATTCTCAGAAAAAAAATCGTCCAGCCCCTGATCTGGCGTCGATGTGAAAATTCGAGGGATGGTTTCAATGGATTGGCTTAAGGGAAAATTTACAGGAAACCATAGATTTTCCCATTAAATATGGGGCTTTGCTGCAAAGTTTCCCTTAAACCAATCCATGCATGGTTTGTTGATTCATACCTGTTCCATATTTCTTCAATAAACATGGTGTGCAGAACGAATCGTTTCCACTGAAATTGCCATGCAGTTGGGGCCTCATTTCTGGAAAAAACCCACAGCCACGATAGCCACGACACCCGTGCCTTCGACTGGTGGCCATGCTGATGCGGGGATGTCTACATCTTAGACTTAAACACTGACCCTTCTGCAACTTGATGCGGGCATTGTTCTGCAAGGTTCAAAAGTATTTCAAAGTAGTGTGGCTACTTGATGACACAATGCTGGGTGTCAGATGGCGTCAGCACTTTTATTTGCATTTGTGTGGAACCAACAAAATGGGTAGAAGGCCATGGATATGTTACAGAATGTTATGTTTGATCCGAAAAAGGTCACACTGAAGCCATTGGTTTCCCCGTCTTCCTCATGCATCTGTTGTCAGAAGGGGGCATATTTACTGGAGCCAAAACTACCATTTTTCTCACTTCAGATTTTTCTTACTTCAGATACTTCAGGGATAATACCTTCAGCTTGGCGCCTCAAGTCGCCATACCCAACTTGGCAATTTGTGCCAGGTCGCTACGGAAATAGGCCATGTTCCTCAATTCTCCAGTGCAATGTGAGTTTACGAGATGGTACTTGGTGGATTTAATGCTTAACCAGTGGGAATGCAAGAATAATAATAATTCTCAGCTTGTAAGCGGTTGGGTGGGTGGCGCACTTCTCCGCCAGGTACTCAGCTTTGATGTTATGGGCAAACCATGGCAAACCAATAGCTTCTTCCGAATTTGGCCAAGAGTCCCTTGGAGTTCTGTGGTGAATCTTGGAGGGATGTAGTCCCACAGGCAGCTTGTGGTTACCCCAAATCCTCACCATGATTTTGCGCCAGGTCGTCTACAGGGTAGTACAACCCCCGAACTAATGGTCAACCAACAGGGGTTTTGAACCCTGATATGGCTTGAAGCATCTTGAACCCATCCCCAATGATGAAGGCAGCTAGATTTCTGGGCATGTCCCTTGTCTGATTGCAGCCATACCCCCTTTGGTTTCTGCACACCTTTTCAGCGAGAACAGGCTCCCGAAGAAACCTAGACTTGCCTTGGGCCTCCATCACTGGTTGCCAAAAACATACTGAAAGTAGTCTGAATGTTCAATGCCCAAAGTGCTTTACGAGAAATTTTGCAGGAAATACATCAAAAATAAACTAAGTTGAGGGTGGGTAAAATCATAGATGTCATAGGGTTCCTGTAGATTTTGCCCTTAAACCTATGATTCAAGGTTCTTCCTTTAAGTGATCCAGTCATGAAGAAAACGCAGTGATGGCATCAGACTGCAACCGCTTGACGTTTCAACGGTGGTAAGTCCTGGGTCGCAACGTCTGTTATTCTACAGTACCAGTCATGTCATTCATGTGGGGTGACATTATAGGATGGTTCATTGGATTGATTTAAGGGACAGTCTACTAGGAAACCTCCATATTCTATGGGAAAAAAAAACATGGATTCAACCCATTGAATGGTTATATGGTTATAATTTCATCCCCCTAATATTAACACCCCCTAAATGGTCCAAAGGTGTGGAAATTCCTTAGTAAACCATGGTTTTGTTTGGGGGTGTTTATATTTAAAAAAAACAGGGGAAGGGATTATTATCCTAATTTACCACACTATATGGAATCCTCATATTAAGCCAATGTGTTTATATAAATTCACACTTTAGGATGGTCTATCATTGGGTGATTTACCACATTAAAAAAGTGGATTCTCAGTAAAAACGAAGAAAACCCCCGGATGGAACACATGGGATCTATTCATGAATTCTCCCTTGTTGGGTTAAAAAAACTCAGGTATTCAAAAAAAAAGGATGGGATTAGTTGTTTTCACAGAACTCTTGTACATGGTGATATTTATTTCACCTTTTTTGGAATGTGCATGTGAAACTGCGGTTTGGACTTGATTATCTCACCAACTAGGACAGTAAGACAACCAATGCAGGGGGGGCCGTGCACGCTTAAATCAGCCACAGTGTAAAGGGATAAAACATGATAAAACTATATAACCGCTTGAGAAGACTTGGGAATAAAAACACCGATTTCGGCAACAGATTCCGCGATTACATGTCTATCCCAAACGGGCACTTGTCAGTGCCTATTCAAGGATACAGGTCTAGCCCGACCGACTATTTTTTTCGTAACCATCGAAAAGTCAGGATTTAACCAGCGTCCCTTCTAGCCTAATTATCATAATTCCCCATCCATCTCCAACCTGAAATTCGTTTGGCAATGTGGGGATGAAACTTCCACTTCCAATCCAAAAGCATGATTTCTCGTGACCCACATTGCGCCCACGCACTCCTTGCGACCGAAGAAATCGGTGATGCGTTTGGACTTCAAGTGTGGCCTCGGTTATGCTTGCCCCTAGGTCTCATGGGGAGGTGGGCAAAAGTGTCCGGCAAACGTTTCCTTCAAATCATTTCAAATAGTTGATGGTTCGATTCCAAGTGTTGGTTACTTCAATCCAAGGGTTTTTGGAAAAAATAAATAAAAATAAAATCATGTCATTCTTCTCCACGTTCGTCCCTACCCAAAAACGGCCCAAGAAACATCTTCCAGGAGATTTTGATTTTAACTCATATATATATATTATTATTATCATATATCATATATCATATATCATATATCATATATCATGTTTGATATAATATAGTATATATAGTATTATATACCATATACTATATATAATATACTATTATAGACTATATGTTATATATTAAAAGTTATATTTCATATCTTACATATCATATATTACATATCATATATTAATGTTGACTACACCTACTCACAGCCACAAGTACGGTGTCAATGCAACCACTGCAAACAGTCAAGCACAAGCGGACGAACCTTTTGCCAGTGCTTGAGCCAAAAGTCGGATGATCCAAAATGAACGGAAGTCCTGCAAGACAGTGCTGCAACATGGTAGAGCTATATACTATACATGAGGGTAGGAATTACCTGTGATTCTTCAACTCCCCCCTCGATACCAAGTTGCTAGTCAACTGCAAGGACGATTTCCGGTAGGTACACATAATACCACAAGATTTTGGAGCCAAATCCTAACGACAACCTACCCTGCGATCTACGGAAGCAGTCTAAGGCAGCTTGTAATCAAGACCCAGTTGATTCAAAGTCATCAGCCATTCAATTGGAGGCACAATTTTGGTAAATCCATTTGCCTTCTGCTGAAGGGTGGTGCAGTGCTCTGCACTGATAGAATCATCTTTCAAAGATTCAGAGCGACTGAAGCAACGTTCACCTTATGCACACGCCCACAGTGGCGCAGTCGCGCGCTGTACCCGGCCTCGAGTACCTGAAGGACGGCATTGTTGTCCTGGAAGAACTTTACTTCAACCACACCACCAACTAGCTGTTGGATAAAGGATTGTAGGTTGTATACCTCTCCATAAAGGCCATTCGCCATTGCGATGAGTTCCGCCTCAGTCGTTGACCGTGCAATGCTAGACTGGCGTTTGCTCTGCCAGTACAATGGAAATGCACACTCTGTGCTCGAGATTTCAATCCAAAGTCCAGAAGTACTTTTCACACTATGAATGCACCCGGCGAAATCTGCGTCCGTATACACATCTAGTCTAATATCATTTTGATGAGATACAGAACTTTTCAGAATGACATCTTCAGAAGTGTTTAAATACGCGACACAACGATGCAACTGGCGATCTTCAAACTTACTCCATGTCGTGACGCGACTGGCAAGTCTGGTCACGATAAAGGCAAGGTCCGGCCTAGATAGCCTACTCAGCCACAGCAGGCGCATCAAGATCCTCGATGCATCTTTGCCGAGCTCACCTGTCTGCGAAAGGTCCTCTTCGCTGGCTGATGCTCCAGGAATGTGTGGAGTTGGAACACTCCTGAATCTTGACTTGTCAAAGCCTGTCAGCTCGCAGTAGGTGTCGACAATGCTGTCGGCGTACGATCTCATGTCCAACTCACATGTGGTTTGCTGATCTTCGACCTTAATTGTGTGTTTCCTACCAAGAATGAGGGTACCTTCTTGGCCTAAGATGAACTGTTCTGGTTCAAGCTTTACGGATTTCCTAAGCTGTGTCCAGAATTCTGTGTGACATCTTTGATCACTTGATCACCACACAATGTAAGATCATCAACATACACATTGAGAAGTAACGTGATTGTTTCATTGCCAATTTTCCATGGAATTATGTAGTTTGACGGATCCATTGGAAGTTCCTGCGCACCAAGATTCCTCAGTCGATGGTCTAAGTGATCTTGCCACCAGCGTCCTGCTCGAGGATGTCCATACAAGGACTTCTTGAGACGAACAACCAACTTGGTCCCGGTTTGGAATTTCTTGTGCCATTCATCTAGCCATAATTCTGTTGGAATGATCACGTAAGTTAGATCATTGTCGTCTAACTCAGATTGAAGGAACGCCTGAATGGCATCGGAGCAGGATGCTGCATTCCCTTTCCTACAGGCGTACCAAAGGGCTACATTCAAGGCTGCCAATGATGTTGGGGTCGTGGCGGTTTGGTCAAATAGAAGAAGTTTGCTGTCCTGGTCACGGACCTGATCTCCCCCTGTATACTATCCGACTCTTCCACTTCTACTTGGATGGTTCCAACTCAAAGTGTTTTATGCCTACTAGTGTTAACAATTCGGCTACTTTGATGTGGGCTCCTGTTGCACGCGCCCAAGCACGAACCTGATGCAACGGCGCAACGGTGTCATCATCCCATGTGGAATTGGCCCTCAAACCAATGGCTTCTTGTTTCAATGCCTCTAAGGCCCTCAGATCATTAGACCATTCCTTACGGGTCAGAGATTTGGTTACTACGGCTAATTTGGGAACATGCTTGTACAAATGCTGCGGATACCATGCTTCCAAGATCATGTCTGCGAATGCGGGTGTGTAATATGCAGTGAGCTCTGCGTTTCCACCCACGGATTCTCCATGTTCATGGTAATTTACCACCTTTCCCTTTCAAACCGAACCGGCAACCATTACAATAAGCCCGTTTGAGATTAAAACGCTTTTCAAAGGCCAACCACTCTGGCAAGTTCCAAATCTCTGCTTCCTGTGGCAGTTCAAAGGCAATCCTACCGTGATTTGTCATGCAACATTCTGCAAATTGCATGGCATAGCCCAACATGCGTCTTGTCTCAGCTCGCTTCTTC